ACATTTGTCACATTTTTTTACAAAGTTGAAGGTGTCTTCTTGAAGCAGGGGCCAATAGTACCCTTGACGAACAACTTTGTTGGCGAGGGATCGTGCAGCGGTGTGATTACCACAGATCCATTCATGTATCTCCCTCATGATATAGTTTGCTTCCTCATCGGTTACACATCGAAGGAGAGGGGCACTAAACCCTTGTTTGTACAACTGATCTCCTATGAGTGTGTAATGAGCAGCTCTTGTTCGTAGGGTTCTTGCTTTAGTCTTGTCATTGTGCAAGGTCCCATCTCGGAGATACTGACTAATTGGGGTCATCTAGGAAACTGATTCGGTTGTGACCACGGCCTGTTCGGGCGAGCTGATACTTGGGATCTCTATGTACCGAATAGGAATACTTTCTAGCGCATCTGAGTCCAGCGACAAGGCTATTCTTGCCAAGGCATCTGCGACAGAATTACTATCTCTAGGAATTTGCGTGATCGTGAAGTACTTAAAAGACTCGAGCGCGGGCTTAGCTTTCTTCAGATAACTGATCATGTTTCCTTCCTTGGCTTGATATTCCCCCAAAATCTGATTGACAACCAACATGAAGTCGCTGTGAATACTGACTGCGGTTGACCCCATTTTTCTTGCCAACCACAGACCAGCGAGCAATGCTTCGTATTTGGCCTCGTTGTTTATGGCTTTGAACCCGAACCAAAGAATACCATTGATGCGAGTCCTTTCGAGACTAAGGAGGAGAAGGCTTGCCTCGGCCTTCCTCCTGTTCGAGGAACCGTCGACATAGAGGCTCCAGGTTTATAGATTTCGGACAGTTTTTTGGGTGACTTCGCTGGCTTGTTGCTCGAATTCCTGAGTTGGTTGGTATGTAAACTTCGAAATGAAATTAGCAACAACCTGCCCTTTAATGGTTGCTTTCGGTCTATACTATAGATCGAACTGACTTAGTTCCATCGCCCACTTGAGCAACTTACCTGAAGCCTCTGGTTTTTTAAGGACTTGCTTGAGCGGATAGTTGGTCAATACGTGGATTGTGTGGGCATGGAAATAAGGTCGCAACTTCCTGGAGGCGATCAGCAGGGCATAAGCTAATCACTCCATCTCTGGATACCGCATCTCGACATCCAGCAGTCGCCTGCTCACGTAATATACCGACCATTGGACTCTGTCTTCTTCCTGAATTAGAGCTACACTGACCACATGCTGAGAGACAGACAGATACAGAAGAAGAATTTCCCGAGGGAGAGGCTTGGACAGGAGATGTGGCTTTCTAAGGTGTTCTTTAATGCTTTGGAAAGTCTGTTCGCAGTCCGAAGTCCGTTTGAACTTTTTGTTGGCCTTAAGTATATTGAAAAATGGCAAGCAACGATCTGTTGCCCTTGATATGAAGTGACTGAGAGCCGCTATTCTCCCATTGAGACTCTGAACCTATTTTTGGTTGGTCGGGCTTTTCATGTCAAGGAGAGCTTGAATCTTTCCGGGGTTGATTTCTATTCCCCTCTCGTTAACCATATATCTTAGGAATTTTTCCGAGGATACTCCGAACGAACACTTAAGAGGATTGAACTTTATTTTGTACCTTTGGAGTATATCGAACATCTCAGCGAGATGTGCTATGTGATCTGAAACGACATGTGATTTGACCAGTATGTCATCAACATAGACTTCCATTGATTTTTTGATCTGCTCGGAAAACATTTGATTAACCAGTCGCTGGTAAGTCGCCCCAACGTTTTTTAGGTTGAAGGGCATAACCTTATAGCAATACAGCCCCTGATCTGTAACAAAGAAGGTATGCTCTTCGTTCGACGCGTACATTAGAATCTGATTATATCCCAAGTAGGCATCCATAAAACTCAGCAACCCGTGCCTGGAGGTGGCACCGACGAGCTGGTCGATCCTCGACAAGGGAAAGTTGTCCTTCGGATAGACTTTGTTAAGGTTGATGAAGTCAACGCAGGTCTGCCATTTGCCGTTAGGCTTCTTTACTAAGACCGGGTTGACAACCTAGCTTGGGTAAAGTGCCTCTCGGATGGATCCGTTTAAGAGGAGATTATCCATTCCACTTTCAAGGCGGCATATTGCTCAGGGTCTATTGCTCTTCTCTTTTGACGAACCGGCCTGACCGCACTATCAATATTCAAGGCATGACATATAATATTTGGGCTGATTCCGACCATGTCAGCATGCGTCCATGCGAATACGTCGACATTTTCCTTGAGGAAACTAGTCATGTCGTTGGTGAGCTGAGGGTTGAGATTACTCCCGATCCTCAATATTCGGATTGACTCGCTTTGATCGACCGATATCTCAGATTAATCCTCCACAGATCCACTGTGAGGGCATTCCTAGATGTGAGGGTCTATGTTATCCTCAACCGGGCCGGGCTATGGCTCAATCCTGCTTATTGTCATTACCTGTTCGGGGATGTCAATCGGTATTCCTTTTCCCTTGCATGCCATCTGCACTGCCCTCACATAGCAGTCACGAGATGCGCGTTGAGATCCGCTGCTTCTTTCCTTTTCGTTGATCATCGTTACCCCATTTGTGATCAGCCTTCCTATTCTCCCCCTGGTTGGGAGCACTGCTCGAAGGATCGAGGTCATGTCAGTTGAGAGTAGCCACAGAATTTTCAATGCGGAGGTACTTTGCAGTAAGTTTGTAAAAGCGAGTGAGGGAAACATCATCCTTAGATTGCAGTTCCTTCCACAAGTCTGTCTGCGGGCGAACTCCCGCGATGATGAGGTCCGAATGGACTCCTCGGGAGTATGAGCCACTTTGTGGAGCTCCTTGTGGAACCTGTCTATATAAGATTGGAGGGATTCATCCTTCTCTTGTTGTATATTGCTCAGGTAGCTTAGCGGCATTGAGAACTTTCTATTCGCTTGGAAGTGCCTCAGAAATGTCGAGCTCATTTGAGACCATGAGCTGACTAATCCTGCTGGGAGCGACCTAAACCATCGCTTGGCATGGACAGTTAAGGTTATAACTAAGCAACGACATTTTGCCAAGTTAGAGACTTGGTGGAGTTCCATGAGGTCGTTGAACTCATATAGATGATCCTGCGGATCAAAGTTCCCATCAAATGCTCGCATGTCGGGCATTCTGAATCTCGATGGGAAAGGGGCAGCTAACACTGCCAGGGAAAATGGAGACGCCTCTACGACCTTCCCCTGCTCGTTCTGTTGAGCTTTGAGATGATCCAAAGCTCGTTGTAGTTCCTCAATCTGAGGCAGCGGAGCTACCTGGGGATTACTTTCCGCAACGTGGGTTCGACCCTCACGGCTGCGGTTAAGGAAAGACCGCAAATTGGACTCTTCCTCACCTCGGCCAGAAGCTCTGGCCAATCTTGACACACGTTGGCTAGAGTCATGTGATGGCATTGAGTGATTCGGGGAGTCTTTCCGACCTCCGCGGTGGTATGAATCGACCTACGGACGATGGGAATCCCCTGCACGACGACGATTGAAGTCGTCATTTTGGCGATATTGAGAATCTCCCCGACTTGCACTTTTATGGGAATGCTTGTGTGACGTGGCGTGGGACAGCTCATGCTGTGACAGGTCGTCGAGTCGTAACGCCACGAGTATTCTACCTGGGGTGCGATCGGTGTTCGCTAGTCCCTCGGAGCCCTTGGGTCCGTTGTGCGCCACTTGCTTTCCATTCCTCTGACGCGCTGTACTGCGTGCGATATGGGCTTTTGCTCTTTTCCATGCTTTCACGCGACCTGCAGACGTTTTTGGCGGTGGCACCACCTCATTGGATTCAGGTGGCATGACCCGATCCAATCGGTCTAGCCTTTGGCTGACCGTTTGGAGAGTATTATTTAACCTCTCCAAGTAACTCATGATGGCTGGATCGAGCCGCGAGCTCGAAGGAATATCCCCCATGATAATTTGTTGGATAGGTGGCACTTCGGGAGGAGTGTCCTCCTGTACCTGGGGGATCTCTTTATTGTCATAATTGGTTCGCTCAGATTCAAAACCACGAGCCATTTATTGTTGTGGGACCGATTAGTCAGAGATTTTATGATGAAGAGCAGATACTAAATTAGGCCCTCCTTCTAGCGCCAAACTGTTGATGCTCGATTTTAGACATCAACTACTCGCACGTGTGAAATGCTAAGCGAACTTAGAAGTCACACGTGATATGGGAATATTAAGTTAAATAAGGGGTGAGAGGCAATGTTTAAAGTGGTTCAGATGCTAAAAAACGAATCCTACATCCACTGCTATTGTATTAACAAGAGGATAAATGTCAAGTCGTGTTCAACGAGCTGAGCTACTGTTTAGAGAGAATACAAGAGAGAGAGAGAGAGAGAGAGAGAGAGAGTAAATTATTTTAAAGTAAATTAGCCAATCCCGCAAATGAGAGGGAAGACCTCTATTTATAGTGGGAGAAACCAAGGTAATGATTGCTAAATCTGCAAGTGGGTGGGTACCGTGCAAATCCTATCTGCGTCCCATTATTCACCTGCTCGAGGGATTTCCCTGACTTATGTAGGGTTTGGACACATGGACGATTTCCAACCACCTGCTAGCCTAGCACTCACCCACTGCACTGACAGGGCATGCCACTTACGCCATTACGTGACGTGGCTGCGTTTGAACGGTCACAGATTCTTCCCAAAGTTTTGACCATCCCATGCTGACAAAGCTCTTCGTCAGCCCTATCTTTTCGGGCATAACATCTATAAAATTATATGAGTTAATCTAATTGGTTTTAATGAAAAATATAAAAGGACAAAAACAGTTTTTATACTTTAACCTATTCTGTATAACATAGTCTAACATATGTCAATTACACTAGAGGGGTTTTTCTTATAATTAATCTTAATAAATATTATCATAATAATTTTACAATTAATGAATATTTTGAAATAAAAAAGTACTGCGTAGAAATACACTGTATTTTTTTAATTTTTGAAAAACGTGTAATACTGACGCTATAAAATCCAAAATTGTACAATGACTGAATAGTTCCAAACAAACATTTATCAATTATCAGACGCCAACAACCTACACGCCACCAGCACGAGGCACCAGCTAACAAGTGATCAAAACCAAACCATCTCTCTTCCAGTCTAAAACACACAACAAAATCGAAACATTTCATTTATCAAATCTTGAATCTCTTTGGAAAAAAAAAAATGCATTCGAATAACTTACTTCTCGAAGAGCCAATCAGAATGGCTTCAATTCTTGAGCCTTCAAAGCCAGTAAGCAAAGCTTGTTTAAAGTAGTTCACTGATTTACTTTTATTTTTTGTGTTGTTATTGCTTGATCTCTTTTCGCGGTGTTTGGTTGCTGAGAAAATGGAGGAAAAGAGCGGAAAAGGAAGGAAAAATGGAGTAGAACTTTGACTTTGTAGTGTCAAGTGAGTGAGCTACTGTAGTGTTTGACTTATTAGGAAGGATGTTTTAAGCTACCAAACCAGGAGTTTTGAGAATTCTAAGGGTGTTTGTACTTCGATCAGCTGTTTGATTGCTGATAAAATGTAGGAAAATAAGAGTAAAAGAAAATTAAACTGGAATTTTCACTTTGCAGTGTTAAGTGAGCAACTGTTAGGCTTTGATGTAGGTTTTGTGCAAGCACAAGCTCTGTTACTGAGATTTTTGTGCTTCTTGTACTTCGATCAAGCTGTTTGGTTGCCAAGAAAATGTAGGAAGTAGAAAAGAAAGTACAATTATACTTGAATTTCACTTGTGGTCTCAAGTGTGTGTTTTTCAGCTTATTAGGATGATATAGATTCTTATATTGTTTTACTTGGGTCACGGTTTTTGGTTAATATAGTTTTTAATTGTTAGCTTTTCTTTAGAATTTTATTAAATTTTTAGTTGTAAATTATTTTGGCATTTCCAATAAGGACACATTAGCATTAAATGCTACACTAATGTGATAAAAGGTTCTAGGATTTACAATGTTTCTTTAAAATATTCTTTGTTTTTTTTTTGACATTCTTTCTGGAACTTTTGTTATGATGAACATTGAGAGTTTGCTGCTTATCATATCAGAATTTTGATATTGGTTTGAATGTGTTCTACAGACTTTCTTTCCTGCATTGACAAAATTAATTGGAACTCTTGGTCAAAGATCTCGATCCGTTGAGATAATATCTGGTTGCCTTAATGCAGGAATGTCAGGTATCACTCTGCTGTTTTTATTTTGATTCAATTTAATTTGCTTGATGTTTTGTTTGGTTGCCAATAAAATTGGTGTTAAATATTATAGAGTATTTTTTCGTAGAAGATTAAGTAACGTATTCAACTATCCAAGGTTTTGTATCACTGTAAATTGAGTATATGTTTTAGTTCTTAGTTAATGGGGGACATATCAGTTTAAGATATTGTACATAGACCCTTAACTAATTAATTAATTTTGTTTTTTATTTTTTCTAAATTCATTTGTTTTCTTTGGGCCAATAATCATAAGGTTAATTATATGTATGTTATTTTTCTCAATTAGTATTTCACTAAGCTAGAAATTTGTAATTGAACTTATTCAAGGGCTTGAATTTAACATGGTTAGGCTGTTAATCATTTTTTCTTTTTCTTTGTTGGTGTTGTATCAGTGGCAAGGTTTGATTTCTCATGGGGTGATGCTGCATATCATCAAGAGACACTGGAAAATCTGAAGATAGCTATCAAGAGTACAAAGAAACTCTGTGCGGTAAGCTTGCATTCTCACATTGATGACATTTCCTCCACGTTACGCACATTAAAAGTCTTTTGTCTATTATAGCATGTATTAAGATATTTATTTGATCAATTCAGTTTGGGTTCTAGGTTTTCTTGCCAAATTTATAGCAGAGTGAAGGCTCGGGAATATGATTTTTCTATGTATTTTTTTGAACTTGATTTTCCAGGTTATGCTAGACACGGTTGGTCCAGAATTGCAAGTAGTTAACAAATCTGAGCACCCAATTTCTCTTCAAGCAGATACTACAGTTGTCCTAACACCAGATCAAGACAAAGAGGCTTCTTCAAATATGCTGCCAATAACTTTTTCTGGCCTGTCAAAGGTTTTCTACATGAATCTATTTTCAATTTGACTTTGTTTCAATGTTGGGAGTACTTTTTTTTTTTTTTTTTTTTTCATATAGCTCAATATGTGCTCTTATTTTGGACCCACACAATACTAGCTGTCTGTTACGCCTGGAGACTCGTTATTGGTATAGTATCTGCTGCAATTTTGTGTCAAAAGATTCTGGGGTAATTTTTTTCTACCTAATAAACACAATTTTTGGTGTAAATTGGTTGATTATCCTCTCTGGATTACCATGTAGCCCTAGAGTTGACTTCCGTTTAATTTTTCGGAAGCTAGGGTTAAGCTATATCTGATAGCATATTATTGTGCAGTTATGTTATGTAGTCTGACTTCCATTTATGTATCTGTCTTTGTTTTTTAACCTTTTGTGGGAATGAATTAAGCTGGCTGTATGTTTGAAATCCTTCTTATCTATAGTCTTTCACCATTTTTTCCTTGGATTCCTTATGTAATTGGATTTGGAAGGAATCAGTGAATCGTCTGTTATCTCAAATGGATTGAAGCTAGTTCTGTTAAGGCTGTCATGGGTTCCTTCTTCTGTCAAGAGGCTGCTTGATCTTCCGTTTAATTTGTATTTGCTTTGTTCCTTTCCTTTATGTACTTGATGCTTTACATCTAAATTTTGGTATGAAAAAGTGTTGTAGTTATTTTAGTTATATACATCCATTTTATCACATGATATCTCTGGAGCTACTTTTCACTGTTGCAATAACTGAATGTTTTAAGTTGGCTGTTGCAGGCAGTAAAGAAGGGAGACACTATTTTTATTGGACAATATCTGTTTACAGGAAGTGAAACTACTTCCGTGTGGTTAGAGGTAAGGGAACATGAACAGATAAGTTTCAGTCATTAGGATAAGTTCAGTCATTAATGATACTATGTACATTGTAAGTCTTTGGGGTTTGGGTGTATTTTAACTTAAATAAGTTGGAGATGTAAGCTCTATCTTTCAAGCCAGAAAAATCGGTCTTGATTTTTTCATTAGAAAACAGCATTTGGCTTGTATCTGCCCACCCAATTTAAATAAGATTTCTTACAAGCTGGCTAGTAATCAAAAGCATAAATAACAAAGGTCTACCAATAATCTTCTCCAAATTGAAATACTACTAATATGATGTTTGTTTTATTCATGTAGGTTACCGATGTGGTTGGTGAAGATGTGGTTTGTCTGATAAAGAATTCTGCTACTTTGGCTCGGCAATTGTATACTTTGCATGTCTCTCAAATTCACATTGATCTGCCAACGATAACTGATAAAGATAAGCAGGTGATTTGTTCTTTTTGTTTCTGAAACTTTGGCCCTGTTATGTGTCAATTTGAAAAAATAATCTTGAAAGACCCTGTGTAAAATGAAAAGAAAATTGTGTTAAGTATTGCTGTACCGTATTCTGGGACTGCTTTTTAATGACAAAGACAAAGAAAATGCCTCAGATTCTAGTTTTTTGAAGAAGTAGAAGAAGACTTCTTTGTTTTCTTCAAGTACTGTTTCCAAATGCAGTTTTACATGTTTTTGGATATGTAAACCAAAAAACAGAGTTCAAAACCTATACCGAATGCTACCTTAGAGTTTAAAAAATCATGTTACATTGGTATTAATCTATTCTCCACCTGATATCTGTGAAAGGGATTTTGGTCTTTGTCTCCTATATGTTGCTGTATACCTACTCTTTAAAATGTATTACTCAGATTCATTATCCTGTAGATCTGATCTCTTGATTGTCATCACTTAATAGGGATTGAAGTTGGCTTACATTCCATTGCTTTATACAATTATATGAAACTGATTCCTGCTTTATGTGCCTCTATTATAGAAGTTATGAATTAAGTGGATGACACCTTATGCTTCATATGACATAGATGATATGTACATCATCTTACAAGATCTGTTTGGTGTATATGAATAAGATCAGTGCAATATCATTGGGGAGATTTTGTGCTTTGGTTTGCTATTGAAAGATTCCTATTGTTTTAATTCTATATCAGGTTATAAGCTCATGGGGTGTTCAAAACAACATAGATATCCTTTCTTTGTCATATACTCGGCATGCAGAAGATATTCGCCAAGTAAGAAATTGTCCACTGGGGATTCTGCTTTGCTATACTGTTTTTATGTAAAGCAATATATTTTTCTTTCAGCCACCTATTTCACTTTCTCTATGCATTAATTTTTCTTGAATTTTCAATTTAGATCCAACTTTCCTTTTTGTTATTTTATGGTTTTTGGTTACTGCACTTAGTAATTTTCTTCTTGGTTTGCTTGTTACATTCTTATTGTGGCTGTATGCAGGCCCGCGATTATCTTTCAAAATTGGGTGGCCTTAGTCAAACTCAAATTTTTGCAAAGATTGAAAATACAGAGGTGATCTGCATAAATCATCAGCTTCCTTACATCTTTCTAAATTTAGATAATCTTTTTCTTTGATTTGATTTTGAATATGTAGTTTCTTCTTTCTCATGTAAACTAGGGAATAACTCATTTTGATGAGATTTTACGAGAAGCAGATGGAATCATTCTTGCCCGAGGAAATTTAGGGATAGATCTTCCTCCAGAAAAGGTAAAATTTCACATGTGAACTCTGTAAATATTTTACAATTTTGGTATAGGAAATTTTGATGGTCATGCTCTTTGAGATGTGCAAATTTTTGCAAATCGTCATGCACAAACTGTACATGGATACACAAAGTAATTTTCAACTGTGAACATATTTGATAAGATCTGTTTTCTTATGAGTAATTTTTTTTTTTCAAAAACCACATAAAAGTATAGCAAAGGAAACCTTATTTTTTTACTCCAGTAAAAGATTTACTGAAAAATTGCCTTGAAGAATAGTAGACTACATGATACATATATGCATTAATGGTGCCACTCATTGATTGTTAAGCGCACTGCACTCACATTATATTTGTCACATCAGTGCAAGATGATTGCATCAATCTATTTGCTGCTATTTATGATAAAAAAAATGCATGTCTTATTCCAGTGTTTTGTATTGAAATTGACTGGGTTACCTTCATTTGAAGGGGGCTTCTCTATGATGCCAGTTAAGCTAATGATGATAATAACAGAAATAGGAATGCACATTATTTGATCATCCCTTTTTACACTTAGGAGTTTGTATGTGTTGTGTGCATGTGTTTGTCTTTGCATTAACTATGGTCAAAGATTTATGAAACTAAGCAACATTCCTCTAGTAATTATCAGTTTTGGATTTCCAGGTGTTTCTATTTCAGAAGGCTGCTGTTTACCAGTGCAACATGGCTGGAAAGCCTGCAGTAATTACTCGTGTGGTTGATAGCATGACTGATAACCTGAGGCCTACTCGTGCTGAAGCAACTGATGTTGCCAATGCAGTATTGGATGGTAAGTTTGATATTTCTTACTTTTCATAATGAATGTGACTTTGGTGGACATCTATTATCATGGGTTGTTGTTGATGGTGCTTCATAATATTTTGATGTGAGAAAATGAATGCTATGTGATCCATGGCCATTTCGTATAATTGCATTTCTTCCAGTTTTGACCACCAAGTCATGGCTGACATTCTATAAATTATAGTATGCACTGAACTGGAATATTAGCTTTTGTCTAATTATGTATTTATTTTTACTATTATCTTATCTTTTTTTTTTGTTTTTTTGTTTTTTTTTGTTCAGGGAGTGATGCAATTCTTCTTGGAGCAGAGACCCTGCGGGGATTGTACCCTGTTGAGACCGTTTCTATTGTCGGAAAAATTTGTGCTGAGGTAAGTTTCTCTCAGTTTTGATAACTGAAAGTTCATCCATGTACTCGCCTCTTAGTCGGGCAGCTTTTTTTTTCCTTCTTTAAGTCTATGTGTCCAGCCATTGCCTGGTCTAGCTCACTGCTCCATGATAGGTTACCTATCCGTTATTAATTGGTTCTGTGTTTGCTGTCGGACAAGAACAACAGTTTAATCTGCTGCTTTCTTGCAATCCATAGATAAGATTTTCAGCGTTAACATTTTACATGGCTTTGCACAGGCCTAGGTGGCTTTGGGCTATAGGGATTTCATTTTTCTCATTCCTTTCTTAAGATGCTCTTTCATTTAACTTCTGCAATGCATGTGTATGCTGGCTTAGTTCTATTGTAGTTTGTTGGAATGGGCTAGTGTTCATACTCAGCACATAGTGCCCACTTCTGACTATTTGGCAAGAATTGAATGTCTACTAAAAAGTGTGGACTCTTTGTCTTACCTGGTCATGTGACATAAAGTAATCAAGCAAATTTTTCAGTTACTGAATGAAACCACTTCTTGTGTACGTTTAGCATTTCTTCCTGTATTTTCTTATATGATGTGATTATCTAATTAAATTGCTGTCTGCAGGCAGAGAAGGTATTTAATCATGACATGTATTTCAAGAGAGCTGTCAAGTATGTCGGAGAACCAATGACTCATTTGGAGTCCATTGCTTCCTCTGCGGTACTTATAATTTTCTTGTTTTGTTTTGTTTTATTTTTTTTATCCTCAATCAATGTTTCCTTCTTTAATCTTCTCTACATTTGTTATTGTATCACTATACATTTTAGCCTCGTAGAAATATTTATTTGACTGAAGCATACTTTCGAAGCTAAGTTCTTTATTCTGCTTTTATTTTCTAGGTACGCGCAGCCATCAAGGTGAAGGCCTCTGCAATTATCTGCTTTACTTCAAGTGGAAGAGCTGCAAGGTCTATTTTTTTTTTTTTTTTGGGGGGGGGGGGGGGGTGTTTTAACCATGTATAGTTTTAGATGTCACATTCATGGTATGCAAAGCTTTCCCTATATACTCATGTATGACGTCTTAGATTTTTCTGTATTGATGCAGGATGATTGCAAAATATAGACCAACAATGCCTGTGATATCTGTTGTCATCCCTCGGCTCAAGACAAATCAACTGCGCTGGTCCTTCACTGGTGCTTTTGAGGTTTGTTACTGACTTTGATTGCATCCGATGCGGCTATTCTATTTTGCTAGACCTTTATTAGACTGTAAATACTTGAACAAGGAATTGTGAAGTTTTGACTAGATTATTTATGAAAAAATGCGATAGATTTTATAGGTTTTGTTTGTAAATCCTTACCCTGCAGTTTGACTCTCTTCGTTCAAACCACTTGGGGGTGAGAGTGGGGATGTATCTGTCTCTCTCTTTGTTATATGGGTTTTTTGGAGAAGAAGACTTTCTATGATTATCTACACCAAGGACTTCAAGTTGAATGCTGTTTAATTTGCAAATGATAAGCAGAGGGGTAATTAGGATTTAATCATGGACTAACTGGGAAGATCATTTATTTGTAGTTCTTATGCACTGCATTAACTGAAGAATTGAAACTGTTAGCATTTCCTGAATACCTCGATTTTTTCTTGTTTTCAACTAACTTATGAAGATTCACATGAGTAAAGAATCATTAGTCGAGAGCAATGTGCAGGATAATTTAAGTCCTTTTGAAGCATTTAAAAAGGTATACAAAAATATTCATTAAAAATAACTAATAAGAATAGTACATACCACCACTGGCGGCCTAGATACGTACTTGCTCGGAAACAAAACGTTATGATTGCATGCTTCTTTTTATTTTGTCAATTATGTTCTTCCTAAGAATTATCTGCTGTGTAGTTCATGCTCAATATATTTCACACTTTAAGTTGAAAATAAGCTCATAATTTTTATTTCCTCTTTTTGATGATTTTGTGCCAGGCAAGGCAATCGCTCGTTGTAAGAGGCCTTTTCCCCATGCTTGCAGATTCTCAACATCTGGTATGATTTATTTAATGTTAACTGTAACATGATAGGAACCCACTCCAATAACTCAACAATTTGGGCTGGGTCATAGGTCTTTCATGGGCTTGGGTATAACTCTCCTTGAAAAAACGGCTTGCCAAGGAAGGGTGCCCAAACTTTTATAACCCACATGCCCACCCTTTTCCCTTTCAATGTGGGATCCTAACATTCCCTCATGCTTTGAGACCCAACGCCTTCGTTGGTCTTCTTTCCAGAGAACGCCCACCCTCATTGGCCTTTACTACCCTCCCTTTGGGTCTTATTTCGTCTAGAAGCCTGTCAGCAACTCTCCTTCTCAACCCCTCGGGGGGTCCACTGGTCTTTGCTGCGTGGGCTCCACGTCGGCCTCTTTACCTCTTGGGTGACTTCGCGGATTCCCTTTCCTTGGGATAGCAGCCCGGGCTCACGGTCAGCCTGTCACGCGTGCGCAGGATCATGCTCTGATACCAATTGATAGAAACCCACTCCATTAACTCAACAATTTAGCCTGGGTCATGAGTCTTTCATGGGTTTGGGTAGAACTCTCTTTGGAAAACCGGCTTGCCAAGGGAGGGTGCCCAAGCTTTTAAAACCCACATGTCCACCCTTTTCCTTTTCAATATGGGATCCTAACATAACACTTCCATGTTATTAGCCATTTCATATCTAGGAAGAAAAGTAAAAGACGTTTTACAGTTGGACACTAAGTCACTAACTGAAGTTTTGTCGAAATTGAGAAATCTTGATTAGCTGAGGTACCTTACTGGGGATTTAAAACGTGTTCATATGGGTCAAGTTTCATTCTCAATTCTCAACAATGCCGTATACTTGAATAACATAAAAACAGTACAACAATATACATATCAACACGTGCTTAATAATGATATATTTTCTTTAAGCTTCGATTTTGTATTCACTGTGTTTTGCAGGCTGGGTCGACAGGTGCATCAAGTGAATCAGTTCTGAAAGTAGCTCTTGATCATGGCAAGGCTTCTGGTGTTATAAAGTCACACGACCGTGTTGTTGTTTGCCAAAAAGTTGGCGACGCAGCTGTTATTAAGATCATCGAGCTTGAAGATTAGAATTATCAATGCATTTCATATTGATCCGATTTCATTTCAACATTCTCGAGCATTTGAAAAGTTACTAGTTCCTCAGGTTCCAGACCAGAATGAGCAAAGATAAAACATAATACAGCGTAGACTGAGTCGGCTCTCATTGTTGTTGTATCCCATTCAGTACAGTCACCTGTAGATTATGTGCAAGAAGGAACCTGTAGTTGAATTCGGTTACTTGTAACGATCAAACATTGTAAGTTTTTATATTTTGCAATCACGTGCCATTTTCTTTGGTACATTCGATGTTCTCCGTCGTACAGAAGATTGAGATTTGAGAGTATAACATTGAGTGTTTAATTCGATGGTGTAGAAGGGGTGCCCAGCCCTTTATAACCCAGAAAAAAACAAAAAAACATGCCCTGTATAGTTTTAGATGTCACATTCATGGTATGCAAAGCTTTCCCTATATACTCATGTATGACGTCTTAGATTTTTCTGTATTGATGCAGGTTGATTGCAAAATATAGACCAACAATGCCTGTGATATCTGTTGTCATCCCTCGGCTCAAGACAAATCAACTGCGCTGGTCCTTCACTGGTGCTTTTGAGGTTTGTTACTGACTTTGATTGCATCTGATGCAGCTATTCTATTTTGCTACACCTTTATTAGACTGTAAATACTTGAACAAGGAATCGTGAAGTTTCGACTAGATTATTTATGAAAAAATGCGATAGATTTTATAGGTTTTGTTTGTAAATCCTTACCCTGCAGTTTGACTCTCTTCGTTCAAACCACTTGGGGGTGCGAGTGGGGATGTATCTGTCTCTCTCTTTGTTATATGGGTTTTTTGGAGAAGAAGACTTTCTATGATTATCTACACCAAGGACTTCAAGTTGAATGCTGTTTCATTTGCAAATGATAAGCGGAGGGGTAATTAGGATTTAATCATGGACTAACTGGGAAGATCATTTATTTGTAGTTCTTATGCACTGCATTAACTGAAGAATTGAAACTGTTAGCATTTCCTGAATACCTCGATTTTTTCTTGTTTTCAACTAACTTATGAAGATTCACATGAGTAACGAATCATTAGTCGAGAGCAATGTGCAGGGTAATTTAAGTCCTTTTGAAGCATTTAAAAAGGTATACAAAAATATTCATTAAAAATAACTAATTAGAATAGTACATACCACCACTAGCCGCCTAGATATGTACTTGCTCAGAAACAAAACGTTATGATTGCATGCTTCTTTTTATTTTGTCAATTATGTTCTTCCTTAGAATTATCTGCTGTGTAGTTCATGCTCAATGTATTTCACACTTTAAGTTGAAAATAAGCTCATAATTTTTATTTGCTCTTTTTGATGATTTTGTGCCAGGCAAGGCAATCGCTCGTTGTAAGAGGCCTTTTCCCCATGCTTGCAGATTCTCAACATCTGGTATGATTTATTTAATGTTAACTGTAACATGATAGGAACCCACTCCAATAACTCAACAATTTGGGCTGGGTCATGGGTCTTTCATGGGGTTGGGTATAACTCTTCTTGAAAAATCGGCTTGCCAAGGAAGGGTGCCCAAGCCTTTATAACCCATATGCCCACCCTTTTCCCTTTCAATGTGGGATCCTAACATTTCCCCATGCTTCGAGACCCAACGCCCTCGTTGGTCTTCTTTCCAGAGAGCGCCCACCCTCATCGGCCTTTACTACCCTCCCTTTGGGTCTTACTTCGTCTAGAAGCTTGTCAGGCCCTAGAAGCTTGTCAGCAATTCTCCTTCTCAACTCCTTGGGGGGCCCACTGGTCTTTGCTACGTGGGCTCCACGTCGGCCTCTTTACCCCTTGGGTGACTTTGGGGATCCCCTTTCCTTGGGGTCGCAGCTCGGGCTCAAGGTCAGCCTGTCACGCGTGCGCAGGATCATGCTCTGATACCAATTGATAGAAACTCACCTATTAACTCAACAATTTGGGCTGGGCCATAGGTCTTTCATGGGCTTAGGTAGAACTCTCTTTGGAAAACCGACTTGCCAAGGGAGGGTGCCCTAACCTTTATAACCCACATGTCCACCATTTTCCCTTTCAATGTGGGATCCTAACATTCCCCCACGCTTCGAGACCCAACGCCTTCGTTGGTGTTCTTTCCGGAGAGCGCCTGCCCTCATCGGCCTTTATTGCCCTCCCTTTGGGTCTTACTTCGTCTAGAAGCCTATCAGCAACTCTCCTTGATCCCTCAGGGGGCCCACTGGTCTCTACTGCGTGGGCTTCACGTCGGCCTCTTTACCCCTTGGGTGACTTCGCGGATCCCTTTTCCTTGGTGTAGCAGCCCGGGCCCAAGGTCAGCCTGCCACGCGTGCGCAGGATATGCTCTGATACCTTAATGGAAACTCATTCCAATAGCTCAACAATTTGGGTTGGGCCATGGGTCTTTCATGGGCTTGGATAGAACTCTCTTTGGAAAACCGGCCTGCCAAGGAAGGGTGCCCAAGCCTTTATAACCCACATGCCCACCCTTTTCCCTTTCAATGTGGGATCCTAGCATTCCCCCGCGCCCTTGTTGGTCTTCTTTCAAAAGAGCGCCCACCCTCATCAACCTTTACTACCCTCTCTTTGGGTCTTACTTCGTCTAGAAGCTTGTCAAGCCCTAGAAGCCTGTCAGCAACTCTCCTTCTCAACCCCTCAGGGGGGTTCCACTGCTCTCTACTGCGTGGGCTCCACGTTGGCCTCTTTACCCCTTGGATGACTTCGCGGATCCCCTTTCTTTGGGGTAGCAGCTCCGGCCCAAGGTCAGCCTGTCACGCGTGCGCAAGATCATGCTGTGATATCAATTGATAGAAACCTACTCCAATAACTCAACAATTTAGGGTGGGCCATGGGTCTTTCATGGGCTTGGGTAGAACTCTCTTTGGAAAATCGGCTTGCCAAGGAAGGGTGCCCAAGCCTTTATAACCCACATGCCCACCCTTTTCCCTTTTAATATGGGATCCTAACATAACACTTCCATGTTATTAGTCATTTCATATCTAGGAAGAAAAGTAAAAGACGTTTTACAGTGACACTAACTGAAGTTTTGTCGAAATTGAGAAATCTTGATTAGCTGAGGTGCCTTACTGGGGATTTAAAACGTGTTCATATGGGTCAAGTTTTATTCTCAGTTCTCAACAATGCCGTATACTTGAATAACATAAAAACACTACAACAATATACATATCAACACGTGCTTAATAATGATATATTTTCTTCAAGCTTCGATTTTGTATTCACTGTGTTTTGCAGGCTGGGTCGACAGGTGCATCAAATGAATCAGTTCTGAAAGTTGCTCTTGATCATGGCAAGGCTTCTGGTGTAATAAAGTCACACGACCGTGTTGTTGTTTGCCAAAAACTTGGCGACGCAGCTGTTATTAAGATCATCGAGCTTGAAGATTAGAATTATCAATGCATTTCATATTGATTCGATTTCATTTCAACATTCTCGAGCATTTAAAAAGTTACTAGTTCCTCAGGTTCCAGACCAGAATGAGCAAAGATAAAACATGATACAGCTTAGACTGAGTCAACTTTCATTGTTGTTGTATCCCATTCAGTACAGTCACCTGTAGATTATGTGCAAGAAGGAACCTGTAGTTGAATTCGGTTACTTGTAACGATCAAACATTGTAAGTTTTTATATTTTGCAATCACGTACCATTTTCTTTGGTACATTCGATGTTCTCCGTCGTACAGAAGATTGAGATTTGAGAGTATAACATTGAGTGTTTAATTCGATGGTGTATGTTTTAGTAGTGAAGAGGATTGTTTGTTACACCGCTGTTGAGCCATAACTTGCATATGTTAACATTGTAGATTTTTCTTCAACTAATCTTGATCCTTTTAACAGTCAATTTAATTTCAAAACTATTTTCGAGATCATTTGTTTAATGTAAAAACTCAATATCGGATTTGAACTGTTTAATACATTTTTTAAAAACAGGATTTTAGAGATACATAAAAACTTATTCTATCTTTCCATACCAACCATATTTCTTTTTATTAAAAAATGTTTTTAGAAAACAAACACATCAGTATTCAGGTTAATTTTATACTCTTCTTCGTTGGATATTCAAGTCAAATACTTTCCTTCTTATGCGTTTTTTATATTTATAAAGAGTAATATTATGTATACAACATTATGTGATAAAAGATAATTGAATGAAAGTTTATTTTTAATTTAAAATCAGTTAATTATCCTTTATTACATCATCTTGTATAAAAATATTGTATATGTTATTATGTATTATAATGGGCCTATAACACTTCTAGGATATTTTTTTATAATAATTTAAGGAGTATTAAATGTCCTTTTTTTTTCAATTCAAGTATCTATTCGTGGGTGTGAAAAATAAGGTTCTGTAAAGAGATAGATTTATAAATCATTCACACTAAATTCAACAGAAGCGCCCATGGCCTAATGGATAAGGCGCCTGACTTCTAATCAGGCGATTGTGGGTTCGAGTCCCACTGGGCGTGATCTATTTTCGGCTTGTCATATTTTTTTCCTTTGCCTAAATAGGAAAGGAGAGAGAAAACTAAAATAATAAATGGGTGTCACTTCAACATACGTATATTTGGTAGCCAAATAATAAATGTGAGAAATTGTCAAGTGCATCTTCTCATTCAAAAACTGGTCATTTATTTGGTCATTTCTCGTTTAAAAGCTTGTCATATTCATGCTTGGCTCATGCTTGGCTAACAAGGGAAGGTGAGAATGATCGTCTTAAGATTTTCATTCAAGAGCCTGTCAAACTGAAAACAAAACATAATGTACAGGAAGCACACTTCTACTTATTCACCTAAGAATAGGAAACGGTTATGCTAAGTTTACGAGTATGAAAAGTTTCACCTAAGAATAGAAAAATATATCCCCACTATGTTTAGAGTTACATTAACAGGATTTGTTAGCACACTAACATTAGAGTTTAAGACTATATCTATCTAGTGCTTTTTCATGCTGGGGCAACAGGTTAAAGAGCCTCAGGGAAACGTAGATCTGCAGGGCCCGGACCTAAAATTCCTTTCTGTTCACTTATCTTGCCGAGTCCAATGGGTGGATCCGCATGACTGTTCTGATCATCATCTCTCCAGACAACCACTTCCGGCCACTCTCTCTGGACCACCAAAAGAAAAAAAATGTAGAACATTAGTAATGGGAGATGACAGTCAACTACGCCAAAGACTTGAAAAGACAATCATGTGTGTGATTTTCAGACAGGCAAATTCTTCATACTTTCATCGTGATGAATGCAGGATTTATGTGTCTAAAGACTAAAGGTGACTACATACATAAGCAACACACATAGTGTCAAATATCAAATGGTGAAACCAGAGTAATAGCATTATACAGCGGGAGTAGTGAAATGTTTTTAAAAGAGTTATAGTTTCCTAAATTCTAAGACTCAATGAGGAAAATGGCTGTAAAGTAAGCAAAGGTTAAATAAGACTATGAGAACTCTCCATCATCGAGATTTCTAGAAATTCTCAAATAAAATTTAAAGTTGCAATAAGAAACATGATAGTCACCTCATTATGGCTTTTACAAGAAGCCAAGATACTTGCCCCATCATCTTGCAATAATGGGGTTGCAAGCGGTGGGACAACATCTGGGTCAGGCTTTTGAAATATGAATGTGGTATATAGGCCTGTAAAAGGGAAAATGTCAAAAGATTAGTACCTACAAATAGAATTCCAAGCAGCCAAAGTTAAAGAGACATGGCAGAAAGAAGATGATGATACTATACCTAACACATCATATGATCGGGGAAGAAGCCTCCCTCTTGGGTCAATGAGATTTGGACCAGAACTCATCAACATGCCTACGAATAGTGCTCTTTGTGCAACAATTAAATTAAAAAAGATAAATAAGCCTTCAAGTTCAAAAATTGCTAATGGGATGAATTGAAATGTGCGAGCCTTGGGTATTTCGTAAAAGATAAAATGTGAATCAAATGCATTATAATGGGACCACAAATTCACATACCTGTTATCATCATAAAATTCGTTTAAGTTTTGAATCTCAACATACTCAAGACCAGCTTCCCTAGCCAACCTGCGATGCATATCTCAGACATAAATGATTTTTCCATGAAAACCAAGAAAACATAAGTGTCTACCAAATTTATTTAAGGGGAAAAGAAAACCAATGCAAGAAAGAAAAACAGTCCTTTAAATTTAGTTTATGTCATTCACTTGGTTTGGCCATAAGTAGCATCCATTCCCAGTTTCAACATAGCTTTCCGATTCCAGCCAAACTTTAAATGTATCATTCACTTTAGAGGCAGCAATTATTTTAAAATTTTAATATGTCAAACAAGGATTTTCAGGGGTGTGGTCTATCTGGAACTAAATCATGTAGAAGCTCATATAATCAATTCAAGGCAATACTAAGTTAGAAATGAACCTGATCAAACTTGGGAAATGAACCAAGCAATGGGTTTCAGCCGATATGTCACTAGCAAATTTCAGTTGGTATTTCTTTCCAAATAACGGAAACCTGGACTCAACGAGGAAGCAGACAAGTCTCACCAAAATTATCCAAGAAGATAAATGATATACCAAAAGAATGTCTAGGTTTCGTACATACTTCTCTTCCTCAACTTCAAAGGTGATCATATAGCTTTCTGATCGAATGCAATTTGGAACTATGTTGGGCTTCATGCTGCCACCTTTATTGTGGTATGCTTCAACATTCTTCTGGTATTTTGCCCTGTATAGCTAAATGTTAAGATCATCAGGTATAGAGGCAAAATCTCATAGGAGCAATAGATTGGCTGTAGATCAAGGACAGAGCTGGGAAAAGACAAGTTATATGAAGGACAGAATAAGAATTAAAAGAGTCAAACACAATCAACCAAAAGAAACTGATTATTTTTGAAGAAGAAGATCATGATAGATCAAAACTGTCCTCCTCCCCAGAAACCATGATAAATAAAGTGAAACTACAATCATTTAATGCTTCACCATGAGGCTTCTGGATTAAATTGTCAACTCATAAGGTAACTAACACGTCTTTGAGGACTAAACTAAGATGTTTATTAAGGTGACTGACAAGGACAGAAAGGAGATTCAATTTACCAATGAAATTATGCATGATTAAATATACTGGCTATTAGAAGAGCAAAGTTAATAATAATTCAATTGCAAAACATGAGGAATCTCATTTGAATTCAAAGACTTGCTCTGAGATCAAGCTGGACAAAAAGAAAGAGAAAAGAAATCTTACACATAATCAACTTCAAAATACACGCATAGAGCAAGCAAGAGACAGAGAAAGTGCAAGAGACAGGTGGAAAAAAAAAAATCACGTGTACATTATCAGACATTATTTCACTTCCACTACTATGACAAACTTCAACGACAGTGGCACATATGCCAACCATCAATCTTACAAATAATAGAAAGTTGACTTCCTTGAAAGAAAAAGAAATAACTTTGACAATCACTTTTTTCATACCATATGGTAGATGAGTCAGGAGTAATACCAAGAAAATAACCCCCTGGTTTAAGCAAAGACGACACATTGTGTAGAAGTCTCCTTGCTCTTTCCTCAGTTTCAAAACACATCTGCAAGCAGAACCATAGAAATGAGCTTTTATTCGTCATTCTTTTTATCTACTTTCCTAATGAAAAAACAAAACCATCTAAGAGACCGTAGAATATATGATATGGGACCTGCAAATGCTGCAAGCAGCAAACCAAATCAGCCTGACCAGCCTTCTCTTGCAATTGAGTTTCTAAATTTTCCTGCCAAAGTAATGCAGTGTCAGAAAGAGAGGAAAAACATTATGCAGATTAAGCTTGAACCAATGACTCCATTGGACATAGCCTTCATCACAATGATACCTCCAGAACACAACTACACATAAAAGCAAACCATAACACGGTATTTTACACATACATGCAAAGTAACTACACACACATAAACACATAAAGAGAAGCGTTGCGAAAGCAGCTTACAACACAAGGGTCGCCCTCAAAGAACTCAGCATTGTAGTTTTTTCGCTGGCTCTCCCATGCTTCTTTTAATTCACTAATTCCTGAAGAAGATACATCTACAACATCCAGAACAAAAAAAAGCTCAAATAATGAAAATACAAACACAATAACAACGAAGAGAACACCATCCAACTTCTCAGTTTTGTGGTTAAAATCACATACTTTCTCTACTCAATAGTTTTCTCTAAAATTTCATCATAATACTGCCATAACTTTAGTGTTTAAACTAAATAAACTGACTCTTAGCTGCAAAAGATTAAACAAGATAGCAAAGAAAATCAATGATATCACTAATGAAAATTAATGAAACCCCGTTAGAAAAAAAAAAGAAAAAAAGAAAAAGAAAAAAGATACCGATGCCAATGTAGTTAGCAATTTCAGCACTTTCCCATTTTTCAATGTCCACTCCTCCTCCACAGTACAAGTCACAGACCTTCATATAACACAAAAGAAAAAAAAACCACCATTAATATAAACATGTTCTGAGCCACAAACCTTTATATAACAAAAAAACCCATTAACATAAATATGTTCTGAGGGAGAGAGAGTATGAACCGTGACATAAGGGTGGGAGAAGATCTTGATCAGGGCTGTTTTGGCGAACTCGTAGAGTCGATGGTGAGTCAACTCGCTTCTTGGAATTGAGTGCCCACTCATTTTTGTTCCACTCTGACTCGGCTTCTACAGACAAGGCAGAAACATATAAGATAGGCCCGTACTTGAGCTTTTGGGATGGGCCCAGTAAGTTTAAACGGACACGTCCATTTGTAAAACAATTAAATTCGGATTAATTAATTTTTTATTAATTAAATTTCATTATTTGATGATTTAATCTTGTATGTGAATTCTATAGTTCGGAAAATATGAAAAAAGTATTTAATAATTTAAAAAATTAAATTATAAAAGATTAAAAGGAGATCATAATATTAGCAATGTCTGTCAATTTAGAGTTTATTTAAATACTTTAATAAAAAATTACATTAAAAGAAAAAATCTCGGAACTATTTTTTTTTTAAATCTCAAAATAATAATATTACACTTAAAAAATATCATAATATTATACATAAGGTGTGTTTGGTTAAGAGAATACTATACTATTAAGAATGTTATATTAATGGAAAGGTAAACTACCTTGAAGATACTGGAAATGTTTAGAGAAATGTGTTTGATTGGTTGAAATAAATTGGTAAGTATTTTATATTAATATGTTTGGTTGAGAGGAATAAATTACTGGGTATGTTATATAATTTATTAAATTATTCTCTTTTTTAAATATTAATATAATGTTATTTTTTGAATAATTTTTTTAATCCCCTACGTTTGAGATATTGTTAAGACACCCTAGCAATCAAAACAGTTTAAAACTTAACAAAAATACTCCCATCCACTATCGCCACTCTTGGATAATTTTTTAAAGTTAAGGGGCATTTATGTCTTAAATTTTTTGCATATAAGGATAAAATAGTCTATTAATATTTTTGTAAATTGTTTTTGAAACAAATGCATTATTGTTAAAAAATTCTAATAGTTAAGGATAAAATTGTAAAAAAAAATCAACTAATCTTAAAATATTTAAAAAAATAGAGATAATCAGATTACCTTCTATATTATCAATAATAATTACTATTGATTTTAAAAGATTACCAGAACAAAACTTGATAGATCAAATAATATAAGATAAGATAGAACTCCATAATCTTATATAACCCTCAACCATATGGAGTAATCTTAACGGTGATGATAGGGTCTGCATGGTAGTTTAGAGTAATCTTAACGGTGATGATAGGGTCTGCATGGTAGTTTCCGAAGGTTTTAGGGCCTACATATATTATTGATTGCAGAGGTCTGGTTGTTATTAACCATAGTTTAAAACGAGTGGCGGTGGGAGAGGGTGAGAGCGAAGGCGAAATGTGCCCGGAAAATGAAAGCGAGACGCTGGTAGAAGCGGCGCTAAGAGTGCTAAATACAGAGGACCCATTTGAGAAGGCTCGACTCGGCGACTCGGTTGCCTCTAAATGGCTTGACGGAACCATCACTCTCCCCTACAACCCCTCTCTCGACCTCCCCGTGCCCGATCGCCCCGCCAGGCTCACCAACGTATTTACACTGCTATTATTATAAGTAAAATGGTTGATGAACAATGAAAATAATAATAATAATGAAAATTGGTGCAGGTGAAATTGGTGTCGCCAAGTTTAATGCCGAAGCTCGGTAAAGCGGGGAGCCTGCAGAGTAGGCAGGCCATTGTGCATAGTATAGTGCACACTGAGAGTTGGGCCATTGACTTGTCTTGGGTACTTTTCTTTTTATTAAATTCCGTAGAGCTGCAAATTTTATATATGGATACTACTTTTTTATTGTTTCATTGTTTGTTTTTATTCATTTTTAATCATTCAATTGTACAACGTTTGCATGTGTACTTTATATTATATTTGCATAAAGATGTTTTGCCGCTGTAGTTTATGATTGTAATAAGGGTTTGTGATATTTTCTTTGTCAACTTGTAAAAAAATAGTGTAATCAGTAAGAGTTCGATGTTGGCATTTAAAAATCACATTCAGTGAGGTTAGTAACGTGATATAGTAGCAAAATCTTTGTATAATGCTTATGTTTTAGTCAAACTTTTCATTATTCCTTGTGAGTTCTTATGTCAACAAAGTGCAACTTATTTTGAGTTGAAGATTTCTATATAAGTGGCACTGCCCTTGAATCACAAGTTATTGTTAATATTCCGCTCGACTAGGCATAATAGTTGGTTGAGAATATGATGTTCAACTTTTTTAGTCTCTCAGAATGAGTTTAGTTTTAACTAATTGTATGCATGAGTATGAACTAGTCTTAACTTATTTGGGTTGGGGACACCACAGTGAAATCATATTAATGAATACTTGTGTTTCTATTCTTGATGAAGTCTCGTCTTTCTCGGTGGCCCGTTGTTTATATAGTCAAGTGAAATCATTGTTCTTCTGGTCTTGAGTTATAGTGATTCTTGACTTGAACATTTTGTTACATTTCATGTCCTAACTTTAAACAATAACTTTTATGTCTTATTTTGATTTCCTTTTTTAGGATATAATTGCTCGTTTTGGTAAGCAAGAGGCTATGCCTAGAGAGTTCTTCACAGATTTTGTGAAGGTGGCTCAAGATGAAGGCCGACATTTCACTCTCCTTGCAGCACGGCTAGAGGAACTAGGCTTTTCTTATGGAGCATTACCAGCTCATGATGGCCTCTGGGACTCAGCCATAGCAACATCCAAGGACCTGCTGTCGCGTTTGGCAATTGAACATTGTGTCCATGAGGTGCATACTTCTCTTAAATTTATTTCTTGTTAATTCATAATTCAACTAATTATGGGAATAAAAGTCACGACGACTTAGCCAAAATTCATAATTTTCAAAAACGATCTCTTAGTGCTAGTAGATTTTATTGGTAAAACTTACATGCGAAACAAGCTTTTATGGAGGGCATGTACAGCTCATATGGAACTAATTCTCTTCCTATGAATTGCTCCGAGATGATTTTATGGAATGCATACCTTATATTAAATTGTCCAATAATTTCATTAATGGATGTTTATTTGATAAAAGCTTGTATTCTGCAGGCCAGGGGACTTGATGTGCTGCCTGCAACAATTTCTCGCTTCCGTAATGGAGGTGATAACAAGACGGCAGATTTACTGGAGACAGTGGTTTACCCAGAAGAGATTACTCATTGTGCCTCAGGAGTGAAGTGGTTCAAGTGGCTATGTTTGAGGTCTAGGAATCCAGCTTTATTTCAAGATAGCTTGGCATCTCTAGAACACGAAGCAGGAGAAAATGGATGTGCAATAGAGGAGAATGAAGTGGTTATTCAGAAGTTTCATGCCATAGTAAGGACATATTTTAGGGGACCATTGAAGCCGCCGTTTAATGAGGCCGCAAGGAAAGCTGCTGGTTTTGGTCCTCAGTGGTATGAACCACTTGCTATCAAAGAAGCTGCTCCAGACTGCCAATTAGTGAACTAAATTTAGGAAGCAAATTATCCATGAAGATAATAAACTTCTTCTGAAGTTTAGTTGTCATATGCTTAGTGTTGCTGGTTATCCCAGAAAGATGATAGATTATTGATTAATAGTTATTAGTTTCGACCAATTTTGGTCCTCAGAACACTATAAAAACCCAAGGGCTGCTTTTGATTCATCAGCTCCCAGTTCGAATTTTGCTTGTGTTCCAAGAGAAATACTTTATATGTTTTCTTTATTTCTTATGTCTTTTCAGCAAAAACGATGTATCTGGTGAGAAATTTTAAAATATAAGGTTTTTTTTCTTTTTTTTTTAATAACCTAACCTACCAATGTCAATCAGATCCTCTCTCTTTGCCCTTATTAAATATACAACTATCAATTAATCTGTAAGACATCGATTTAAAAGATGGAAGATTTATCATGAGCAAAAAAGCACTTTATTACTACAATTGCTGGTATTAGCCATTTCTTATACATTATTTGTACCAAAACAAAACATGATCCTAACAGCATAACATTAGAATCAGCATCAAAATCTTGAAGCATTTGAAAACCTAACTTAGGAGCAATGAATTACATCAATGAGTATCGAAAATTATGGTTCTCTCTTTAAACAAGTTGTGTCCGATGATTTGACAAAAAATTTGTATGCCAAGCTGGCACAACATATCGTTGCAGCAAAGGGGTATCCCCAGAACAATTTGGAATGATCTTTGAAAATTTCCTAACTAGCTTTATGATGATGGCATACGCCACTATGGCTGACTTCTTGATTTCCCAACAATCAATTTATGAGATTTTCTTGAACATTACAGCAAAAGTCTTCGAATGTCACTGAAGTTAGAAAGCAAAGCTGAAAGAAATGCACCTGCAGTATAATATAAACATAATATCAGAAGCAAATCTCATAAAGATCCGGTAAAGTCAAAACTTTGCTTAATAACTGATGACGGAACCTAATGATAATTGAAAACAAATAGAAAAGCAAACACAACCCTTTACTGAATCTCTAACCACCTTTGAATATAGCAACAATGACACAACCAAACTTTCAGGAGCTGCAATTCTCTAATTTGGAGACCAAAGGTTAATTACTATTCAGTATAATCCTCGATAGTCCCTTAACCTCAAAAACAGTGAAGAACTTTTCTTGATAAATATATTTAATCATATAAAAACATCTACCGCTTAACTTGAGTTTTAATGGTACCGCTATACCAGTATAGCTCATGGAGCAAACCCTAATGTTGTCTACTTGGTCTTGGCATGACAATGACTGCAAATGGAGTTACATCCAACATTTTAAAGAACCTTCCCCTTGGAAAAAAATAAAAAATTACACAAGTACTCACCTGCAACTTTTCCCTCAAAAACACGATGATCAGCAGATAGTGTTAAGTTCATCTTTGTGACAACTGCAGGCTTCTGAGTTCCTGTATCCGAAGAGGTCCATGTCATAAGTAACTCATTAAACAGCTTCAAACATTTTGAGACATAGTAGTACAAAAACAAACATCTTACCATCACTTCCAATTACTGGCTCAACAACTTTGTTTCCCCTGCCAACAGCAAGGATGCCAGCCTGAAAGACATATAAGATAATTCATTCACAAGGTAAGGGGCAATACCATAACATTATAACAACAAATATCTCTAGTGTTTTCTAATACTGATTGTACTTTCATTGGAAAAGTATAAACAAAAATGGTTGAATAGTGTTGTGGAGTGCTTGTGTCCATGAGAAACAGAGAGAAAGAGCACCTGTGGTGGATTTATAATTGCACAAAAATGGTCCACTGGAAACATACCCAGGTTTGAAATGCTGCAGACAAGAAGAGCAAGTTATAAATATTTCTTCCAACAATTATTTTAAGAAAAAAGCAATTAGGAGACAACTATATTGGCAACAGCAGATTATTTGATTCGACTGAAATTTGGAACAGGTATAGTGCGTAAAAAACATCTTAATTAATGAATGTTGAGTCCCTGTAAGAAATGGAAGGAAAATACACTCTGTCAATCACAAGATCAAACAGCCATCTTACTGAGCTTTACCTCTTCCATGGTATTCCATTAAACCACCAGAAAAATTGCCAATGAGATTACCATTAAAACCCTTGCATTGGTCCCTCATTCCAGAATACATTGGCAATGAACACAAAAACTCCCCTCAGTTCCTTGATATTAGGTGGTTTACTCAAAAAGCCAAGATCAGCTCCTTGAAACTGATCCGAGTTTCAAAAGGCTCAAAAGGAAATAATTATATAGCGAGGTTCTTTATGGTTTGTTGGTGGTGTTAAATAAGAACTCCCTTACGGCACAGCTTCTTGTACATAGAAAAACACAGACATAAAACCTAAATACGTATTTGCATATATACACACCTAAAAGTGCCTCCTTGAAATTCGTTTGGCGCAAGCTTCCCTGCCCTTGCCTTTGAAGCTAGTTCCTTGACCTGAAAGTCAAGCGACCCAGAAAAAGTAAATAATTATAGAAATAAATAATAGAGGAGGAAGCTGTAAAAAAAAAATAACTGATCAACCCAAATCTCTTACTTCCTAAATTTGACAATAAAACTTCTGACTTATTGCATATTTCATGTTAATCAAGTTTAACATGAAATCGATATATGTTTCTTAAGAGCAGCAGGTATTTTCTTTATCCCTCTTTCTAAAAGTAGCAAAGATGAGTAACTAAGCCATGAAGATTCTATCATAGTACATCCCCAACAAGGTCATCAAACTGAAACAGAGAGAAGTTGAAATATACCTCCGATGAGATTGCAGAAATGGTTTTTTGATCTGCATTCCTTATGATGGGAGTCATTAGTCCCTGAAACAAAATAAAATACAATGAACTTTGGATGCTGCAAATCCCTTTAAGAAAAAAAAAAATGAATTTTGCAGCATACCTTCTCTGTAGCAACTGCTATTGATATATCAACAGCATCGCATAAAACAATTTCTCCTATTTCGACATCCCAGTAAGCTGCCACATATTGACAACCAAATTTTGGCATAAAAAATATAAATAGAGAGGCTGGATATCATATACACAGTCAAGATAATTTCAATCCCCAAAGGCTTTTACTTCTCCAGATTAATATTGATACTTGTTAAAGGAACTATAATGACAATTTCTGTTGCCGATACCAGCCTAACTTTCATTGGTTTAAACACACAGGTTAGTCTCAACTTCCATAGCATAGCAAAACAAATGCCAATATGATATAACATAATATATCTATCGGAACAGTAATAAACAGGTTTTACCCAGGACACTTCTGAGATTATTTTAAAAAGCGTCTCCTAGTGCAGCACCACAACTTCATCTATCTTAACAAAATCGGAAAATAATTATCTTATATTGTGTAAACTTTCACTTTGCCTGACATCCTAGTTCTTACATCCAGATATATTTCTGAGTAATCCTTTGGAACATGGTATAAACAATATATATCTTACCATTAGCTTCAGCTACATTTTTCAGAGCCACAGCAACAGCTTTAATGACTATGTCATTTACTGAAACTTTAATGTCATGTTTTTCTGTAAATTGAGGAAGAAAAGGATCAGCAGACTGCCGAATCTCAAGTGCCCAACAAACACAATAATACAAATATTCCATACCTTGAAGCTCTTTTCTGAAGGAAAGAAGAGGATCCAGTACGACATCTGAAAGACACCATCACATTCTTTAGATCAAAGATTCAATAAAAGCAAGAAAATGCAGACTATGCAATAGTGTTCAGAACCTGAAGATAAATATAAATGTGGTGTATTTTGTTTTGATTCCAGCAACCTTCTTGCTATAACCTGCAGAAGAATCACTAATGGAGTTAAAACTCTGATTAGTGATTATAAGTATGACCAACCAAATCCTATGGTTGAGTGTGTACTGATACCATCCAGTTTGCACTTTTATTTAATAGAAAATAATTTACAAATAATAACATTATGGATATCACTCGCCAATATCAGAATAAAGAGCTTTATTACTAATGTCACCAAGTGATGGGCACAACCAACACATAATATGTTAAAAAGAATTCATAACTGCGCTTCAACTCCAATTTGATCCAAAATAGTAAGATTCAACCTCCTCCAGATAAAGAAAAAGAATGTAAATAAAAGGGCTTGATATATGAGTACAACATTTTAACTATTCTCTTCAAACAACATGCAGATAAATTTGATAAATAACTGATGATGCAAACCTATAGAGTGACAACAAATGGTTCGGTTTTCAAATCTTATATAGTAGTTCTAAACAATACTAGTGTTCTCTCAAACTCAATATCTGATTTGGAAACACACAACAATAAGGTGCATCTGCAATGCCTTTTAAAAGACCTAAACCCAACAGGCAACCCTGAAACTTTCAAGTTTCTCAAACACCTTAAATTACATAAACGTTCTATATTTTACTGTAGGTTTTAAATGATAGCTTAAAATTCAGCAATATACCATGTCCTACAGTTTGGGCATAAGATAGTTCCTGTACTTATTAAGGCATAAAAATTTCTGCAATTTTTTATGTGCAGCTTCCTTGATTTGATTTTTCTTTCTTGATAGAAAGTAATGATTGTAACTGTTAGATAAGAATTAAGGCAGGTTCTCTCCTACAAAGTCTACCTTGCGAATTTGAGTATTGGGCAAATCTTCAAAAGAATCTGATTGCTGTAAGCGAGGTTTTGGACTAGGAGATGCTACAGCTGAAGTTTGTGGGCGGATTTGAGGTGATGGAGATGCCTTCTCTGCAGGTGAAGAACTTTTTGAAGAAACCTTTCCTGACTTAATTGCAGCCAAAACATCCACTTTGAGTAGAGTGCCATGAGGACCTGATGCCTTCAATGATGATGTATCCAATCCAAATTCTGAAATTAGCAACTTAGCTGATGGACTGATCTTTGTAAAACTGCCTTTCTGCACTCCAACTTCATCTTTAGGATCATGGCGGGTTGGCTTTTCCTTTTTGACCCCTGAACCACCAGTAAAAGAATTCTTCACAGTTTCAATATCATCAGGATCTTCAACCTGGCAGAACAGTGAACATTAGTTTTCCCATATGTGTCAAACAACAATGGTAATGGAAATCTAGACAAGTACAAAGTTTAACATTCTTATAATTAAAATCTACTTATGGTAAGGGGACAAACTGCATGTTCTAAATTCATGGCAAGGAAAGCATAATTATAATTTTTTCTATGAAAACAACGAATTAATGTCATAGTTGTAAGAAAATTCACAAAAAGATAACAAGTTATCCACAAAAAAAAGGAAACTCCTGAAGTTTACATGACTTTATAATTAAGATCTTAACAGCTCAAAAACAATCAAGTGCCCCAAGTATAATTACTTACTGTTACAGCAATAGGTTGTCCCACAGCTACATCCTTTGAACCTTCAGGTGCTAGTATCTTCGCCAAGTACCTGCACCAAACAATTTCAATCAAATAATATCGGCGGAAGGATCATCCACAGCCTAGACATCTATAATCAGTTAAAAACTCATTCATTTAAGTGTCAAAGTTATTTTATAAAAAATAACCTAGGAGCTGATTCATTTAAGCTCCCAATAGACATGCTTAGAAGGATATACCCTTTAAACTTGTTTCTCAAAGTAAAGAAAAAAAAATAGTAAGACATGCTACCCCTCTTCAAGACTCTCAAATTCAAGGGTTGCTTTGTCTGTCTCTATCTCACATATCACATCTCCCACTTCTATCTGTCAAACCAAGAATAGGGCACAAGAACAAAGCAACTGAGCTGATTAATAAGTATTCACTCAACTAGATGGAGGAAGTATTCTACATGTTCAATAACTTAACAAAACTAACCTTATCTCCTTCGTTCTTTCTCCACTTTGCGATGTTACCCTGGTTCTGCACAAGAAATGTTTAAAAAATTTAAGCTTCTGTAAAAACTAAAGTAAATAGAGAAAAATTACCAAAGTAGAGCCAACATGTGACAAATCTTAATTCAAACCTCCTTACCATTGTTGGGGATAGCGCTGGCATTCCAAGAACAATATGTGGGGGAAGTTCTGCTGTGTTGATGTTAGCAGAACTAGTTTCCTGTACAGTTTCTTCTTGTTTGATATCCTGTTGAGTTGGTTTAACCTCTGATCCACCACCAACTGTGGAAGGGATATTTTGGATATCATCCAGTTCCTCAACCTTTGTGAATCCAACAGAATGAGTATTAACACTCTGGTACAATGGTTAATCCTTTTATGGAAATTAAGAACAACTCACAAAAAGCAGTTCCACATATCAAAAGGTGTTGGCAATAGCATGAACAATAACAGATATTTGATAAATATCCTAAGAGGATTAAACTCCAATACAAATGACTCAAAAAGGTTAAGAGAGTATGTGATGTAGCAAAGTGGAAAAAGAAAGTGAAAATAAATACACACACACATTTGAATAGATAGATACACATATATACTACGTATGATTAGACATATAATCATGTAAGTGTGTGTGTGTGTATGTATACCATTTAGAATTGATTTCTGATCAATATACCATAATTCTTTGCATAAATTTCTATAGAAGAGTAAAAAGAAATAAATCTTTGGGGAATATCACTGTTTTACCGTTATTGCAATGGGTTGTCCAACAGGCACATCCTTTGAACCTTCAGGAACTAGAATCTTAGCCAAATACCTGTAGGAAACACTCTGATGAATCAGGGCCAGGAAATTAAAGTCTTCAGTTAAAACTAATAACAGAAACTCAATTCTGTACAGGAAAAGAAATGGAGGAAAATATCTTCAAGCGGGGGGTGTGGGGTGTTGGGAGGAAAATACAGCATATAAGGAGAAAAGGATTCAAAATTCAAAATTAAGATTATAAGAGCACTCTCATTCCTAAATACCCTGCAAAAAACTGAAGTAAAGTGTGGTATCAAAAAAATGTGCCACTCCAATGACTGATGTAGATCAAGCAATGACTAATAACATAACAGCCATCAATTTGAAAAAAGACAATGTGATGAATAGAATTACCCCTCTTCAAGACTTTCAAACTCAACTGTTGCTTTGTCTGTCTCTATTTCGCATAGAATATCGCCAACTTCTATCTGTCAGATTGAATTAATAGAAACCAACAAACTGTTTTGAGTCTGTACTTTAAATCATATAAAAGATGGCACACAGACTTTAAAAATTTATTTTATCAACTTATAAATCACCTTATCACCTTCTTTCTTCATCCATTTTGCAATGTTACCTTGACTCTGCACAAGAGCAACAAGCACACAATCTTGACTTCAGGCGGGCTGGAGAAAAATTCACCACAAGTAGGTGGAGGCAAATGATCCAAATTATAACTTTCCAACAAATCTTACCATGGTAGGGGACAAAGCTGGCATTCCAAGAACTGCATGTGAAGGAAGATCTGCCACAACAGACAGCTTATTGACAAATACGTACTGAGATAAAAGTGTCTTTATAACAAAAAAATAACTTAGTTCCATCTCTTTTCCATTTCCATTAAAGAGTTCTTATGTCTTTCCAAGCCCCTTTAAGACCCCGAAAAATTGACAAAAAGATTAACTACTTCATTTATGAATTTCATAGTAATAGAAATACATGTCCTACAGAAACAGAATTTTTAACTTGCTATCCTCTTGCCTAGCAGGCAAAGATTTGCCTCTGTGGAAAAGATGATTCATTCAGATCAAGATGAAAGTCCCAACTACATTGCATTGCCAGAATCCATGTTGTATCTTTGAAAGAGGCCAAGAAATTATATACATGATTCCAGTTGAAGTTTTGACATAATACTACAAGGAAGTTTTGAGAAAATGGGAAACTGGATCTTTAAATAACTCAGTGTGCTTAAAAATTGCTTAACAGTCTGTAACAACATCCCAACCTGAAGCAACATCCTGAATATCAATAACACCTAACATTTAATATTTTCTCCAGAAGGGGGACGGGTGTAGACTATAATAACCGTTAATGCAATATCTTTAATAGAGGTGAAAAGATGTTTTCACTAATTAAAATTTATCAAAAGTTCTACTGAAGCTATATAAAACTGTAATTGGAAGTGAATTTAATCATTCACTGCTGATCAATGTATCCTAAGTATTAGGAGAATACACAGATATGGAAAGCGTAAGCCAGTAGCATGTTTGATGGACAAAGGTGTAGAATGGCTCAGGCCCCGCTACTAATATCAAGTCTGGCACCAAAATCCAAGCTGCACAACCCTAAGCAATATTACTAATATTGGAACTTGATAACAACTAGCATATATGATACGGTAATTTCCAGTTCTAACATCCTTTCTCTACATGGATGTGTTAAAGACATGCAACTTGTTCTAACAGTAGATAAGTATGTTTCTTACAACCCCGGTATATTATACAAGACTTTACAGGCTTTGTATGCTCTGAGGAAACTGCAGTAAAATTATGTAGCTCCTTTAATCCGCAACTATAAAATCGTTAGGGATACATGTTATTGTAGGGAAAAACTGCACATGACACAACCATGATGATGTATACCTGAAGATGAAAAATTTCGTACACCAATTTGCATCTGCAAAATGACAAAACACATCAGAATACAGTCTTAATCCAAAGTAATTCTGTGTATTACAATTTAATAATTTAAATGCTAACCTTGAGCTTCAAAGAGCTATCACATACTCCATTGACCAAAGCTAAGGATGTGGGCCTGGTGAGTATAAAAGCAAAAAGTTAAATTAACCAAGTAAGAATTGCAAGCTGGTTCGCCAGATGAAGCATATAAACCAATCCAAGTCAATTTTGTGGATGTCCTTCATTAATGACATTATCTGGTTCCCATCTGATCCAACTTAAACTTCAACTAAAGTTATATGGGTTAATGATGTTAAGTAACATAAGAAACGGAAAGCCAATAGATGTATACCTTAACAAAATGCCATTTATGTCCACCGAAGAGTTTTGTCCACTGGAAGTGCTGCATCATAAAGTTGACAAAAAGCCAGAGAACAAGGGAAATGAGTTGGCAAATCACATGCATGGAAACATCAGCTCTGTTGAAAGTAAAGTAAAATGCTTGGAGATACCAAGACCACCTAATCAAATGCATCTACCTGATTAATCTCATTACCCAGAAAAAAATAACCTAGGCACCTAGATGCTCATCTAGTCAAGAATTCGACATCACGTAGTAAAGTAATTACAGAGTATCGATCATCTATCTTCATGCAACATAGGCAGCCAGAATAGTTAAAAGTTATAAAAGATAGCAGCAAGTGCCACAACCACATCTGAAAATTCTTTCACTTATCTTGAGCCATTGAAACCCCCTCATAATACTGCAACATGCCCAGCCACAATGTTCAGGGTTGTATGGTTTACATAAATTTATAGAAGAAACAATTTCAAGTTGTTAGGAACAATTACATTCACAAAATTTTTCAATCTGCATCATTAAACTTGAGCTGTCGAAATGAACTCAATATAGCAAGCTCAATAATAAACTTAATTCTCCATTGCTTCCTATACTCAAAACTAGTAAAATCCGTTCAGTAAAATTTTTCAAACTCTTCAAAAAAATTTAAAAAATAAAAGCATATTCAATTTTTAGCTTCCTAACATAAAACTGGTTTGAACAAATACAACAATCTAACTAAACATCGTGCAACAAAAAATGTTTATTTGCTTTATTTAAAATTTAAAAAATTAGTTTCCTAACACAAAGCTCGTTTACTTTTCAGCAAATATCATATTTATTAGCAAAATCAAAATCAACACATAAATGTCATCATCAGAATTGAATCAATCTCGCAAAGCCATTCAGAACTTAAAATTCACAATTCACTTGAAATTGACAAAACAAAAAAGAAAAAAACCAGATGATTAACTACCGAGAAAGAGACGTGGCGGAGGAGACGGAGGACAGACGGCGAGCTCTGAAAAGCAGCGACGGAGCTCTGGCGAGCACTGGATGTCGAAGCCGTGAAAGCGCCATGTCTGTGACGCCGACAGTGAGTTCCGATCAAAAGATCTTGATTATTTCTTATTATTAGTACTATGATTCAACAACCAAAAATATTAGTTACGGCTTTACATTTTCTTTAGTATAATAATAAATTATTAATTTTTTCATTACTCGTTTTATATTGTTGGTTGTTTCGTCGTGGAGGGGGGCGCTGACCAAAATTTTACCGGAACAAGCGGGTAAACGAGTCGGGTTGTTTGTAAGGACTAAGGAGTAAATTACTTTAAGAGTTTGCCTATATTATGAGGTAATTGTTACAAGCATGAAATTTTTGTGATATAAAAGATCATATATTTATTGTTTAAGTGTGTTATCTTATGATATATTGATGTATAATTGATGACTTGAAGGGGGCTTCTGGTTGAGGGTTATATGAGATTACTGATGTTATATCATCTTCTATTACTTGATTATCACATTTGGTTATTGAGTAATATAAGATTCTGGTAATCTCCCAATACCAATAGAGAGTGTTTGAATCATATAATGATTTATTATAGAGGGATATTATATTAACGGAAAGAAAAATCATCTTGAAGATTATTGGGAATGTTTAGAAAATATGTTTTGTTGGTTCCAATAAATTGGTGAATAATATGTTTGGTTGGAAGGATAAATAGGTAGGTATGTTATATAGATTACTAAATTGCCCTCCTTTTTATAATAGTATTTTTTGAATCATTTCTTTTAACCCCTTACATTTGAAATTTTGCTAAAACACCACAGCCATATAAAACTTTAATTTGTAGCAAAATCACCCCACCCACCCCAAGCCATTGTTGGCAGCCAGCCACCACTGTTGACTGCCATGGACAGTCGACAGAATGGCGCACGACTGACCATATATGGCCGGCCGTGCGCCGACAAAGCCGAAAATGGCCATGGATCACAATTCCATGGCCGGANGAGATGTTGCGATTTATTAACTTCTTTTTATAGTCAATATTTAAATATTATCCTCCATCCTGGGGAACTTTTTCCATTTTCAGCTCAAAGTCTATTGAAATGAAAGTGAGTTATGTAGGTGGCGAAATGGGAACTCTTTATTATGTGATGTTTGGAGTATGAATGTGTGATAGTTGTGCCCATTGCTGATAGTTCACTAATGTCTTTGATTCTTAACAACATTGCAGATCTTCCCCAGTCTGGGATGTCTTCACGTCATGAGAGGCATAGTTATTTATCACGAGATGATGATCGTGGTGAGCATCGGTCTGTAAAGGATACAAGAACTATTGGATCGGCATATGATCGATATCTCCAGAGTGCGGTATCTTCTTCAACCTTGAAATTGCATGTGTTTCACTGCCTTGGCATATACATGTTTTTTGTTTGCTAAAATGATCAATGTAATTGATTTTGAAGCAATATCTTTCTTTTCCTTCTGGAGAAGCCAGTGCATTAGGAGGAGCTAGGTCAGGAAGGGGTGTTAGTGGTGGAATGGCTGGTATTCCAGTTGCTGATGGTGTGAGCGGTCGTCCTGGAATCATTGGTCGAGATATGGTGTCAAACGGTCCTAGTAGGGATTTAGATGATCGTCTCCCAGTGGAGACCATGGCTAGGCCAGGCCGTGAAACATTACCTCTGCCTCCTGATGCTTCCAACACTCTGTATGTTGAGGGACTTCCTCCAGACACCACAAGGAGAGAAGTAGCTCGTATCCTTTTTGATACATTAGCACTGAGAAATGACAGTGATCTTTGTTTTTCTTGTTTCATGCTATTCTACAAATATTGTTCATGATTAGTTGTTTTTATTCCTTTACCTCACTGTTCAGATATTTTTCGACCTTTTGTGGGATATAAAGAAGTGAGACTTGTGAGCAAAGAATCCAAACAGGTAAGTGGACAGTATCCTATTGCGAATTCTATCAATAACGATCTTTGTAGCTCCAGAATGTTTCAGTTTATGTTCCTACCTATTAATCATTTGCTCAACTTGGTTTCCTTATCATGTTTTGCAAATAAGTTGTTGGAAGTCTGATGCTTTTTCCATACTAAAGCCATGGTTCATTAACAATGCAGCGTGGTGGAGACCCTCTTATTCTTTGTTTTGTTGATTTTGCAAGTCCAGCCTGTGCAGCCACTGCTATGAGTGCCTTGCAAGGTGATTATTCATTCTTCTCATGAATCTTGACAGTTATCCGTGCTACTCAAATTCAGACATNCCGTGCGCCGACAAAGCCGAAAATGGCCATGGATCACAATTCCATGGCCGGAAAATGGACAGATCTTTATGGCCATTTCACGGCTAAAGATCTAGCCATTTCATGACTAGATATGTGGTAGTTTCACGGCCATATCTTTGGCCATGAAACAGCCTAGAAACGCTAGATTTGGCCGTTTCCAGCCATTTATTTGTGATTCATGGCCGGAAAAGGCCTTACCGGAGCACAACCGGACAGATCCTGCCGGTTGTGCACCATTACAACGACTGATGCCAGCGGCTGGCGGTAGTTAGTCCTGCTAGCAGTGGTCTTGGGTGACTGAGGGTATTTTGTTAACTTTTAAACTTTTTTGTGGCCAAGTGTTTTAGCTAATTTCTCAAATGTAAGGGGTTGGGTAATTGTTATTTGGTACACATTTGAGGGCAATTGTGTCCGAAATGGTTTTTTATTTAAGGGCAAAATAGATAGAAAAATTAGATTACCCTGGTTATGTTTTAATCCCAAGGGTGGGGGAGGGTATCACATTACCCCCTACATTACCAATAGTAAATACTATTTACAATAAAAGATTCTCGTAATATTTTATCACTTGCAAACCAAACACCGAAATCTTGCAAAAATAAATGAAGATTATCGTCATTATCTTATATACCCCTAATCCAAACGCCCCCATAGTAGTTATTGTTGGTAATATTGAAGGTAATCTGAGAACTTCCATTTTCTTAGGTATTGTAAGATTATTTGGTTATCTTGTTTTTGTTACAATTTTATCCCTTATTAATAAAATTTTTGGACAATAATGCCCTTTTTTTAAAATCAATTTACATTAATCCACCATTACAATTTTATCCTCGTTTAATTAAGTTTTTGGACAATAATACTCTTATATTTAAAACAAATTGTAGACCATCACCGCCACCTACCACCACCGCCAGTAGCTAGCCAACCACCGTCGGCTGCCGTCAGAAGTCGCCGAAGAGTCGTCGAGAGTCACCAGGAGGTTCTGATAAGGTAAAAAATGGCCATATTGATGGTCGAAAACGGCCATATCAAAGTAGATCTGGCCAAAAATGGCCAAATCTATTCTGGCCAGATCCATGGCCTTTAACGGCCATATCTGGGCGAGATATGGCCATTAATGGCCATGGATCTTGTCGAAAATGTCCAGATTAGATTTGGCCAGATCTACTCCGATATAGCCGTTTTCGGCCATCAAGATGGCCATTTCCGGCCATATTGGAGCCTTTGATGATTTCTGGCGACTTTCGGTGATGGATGGCGGTGGTCGGCAGTGGCTTGGGGTGGTAGGGGTGATTTTGTTATAAATTAAAGTTCTATATAAGTTGGGGTGTTTTAACCAATATGAAATGTTGGGGGTTAAAAGAAATTATTCAAAAAATAATGATAAAAATAATATTACATTAATATTTAAAAAGAGGGAAATTTAGTAATTTAAGTAATATACCAATCAATTTATTCCGCTTAATTAAACATATTAATATAACATATCCACTAATTTATTCCAACTAACCAAACACATTTTCCTAAAGATTCCCAGTAATCTTCAAAGTAATCTAACTTTCCATTAATATAACATTCTCTGAACCAAACGCACCCGAAGTGTTAAGATGTTACTTATGATGATATATTATTTAAGATTAAAATTTTAAAATATTGATTGAGATATATAATATTACTTTAAAAAAAAAAAAAAAAACATGCTTTTAAGAAAATGTTTATGGATTTTATTTTTTAAATGCAGCCTTGAATATTTTTATAATGTTAAATGTGTTAGGTTGAATTGTTACATTTTTCTTAAAAAATGTTTTTATGTAATAAAGTTAGACACTTCAATTAAAGTATGATAAACATAAAATTTTATTTTACCCTAGAATTTTGTTCATATTATTTAAGAATATGATAAACATAACTTTTTCAAGGAATTATTTAAGAAAAGAAAAGGATATTAAAGATATTGTTAAAAAAACGAAAGGGAATAAAGCAACAAATTAAAAATTATAAAAAAGAATATAATTCCAAAGTATTTATTGTCTTACTTGGAGACTGGCTTACATGAATAGGTTTAGCTACGTTAATAACATTTGTAAAAACCGGTCAAACTTTTTCAACTAGGAAATGGGAAAGAATTAGTTGCAGCACGTGAAAATACCTAATCACTACTATATCTCCCAAACTTTCATTGAAATAAACATTAATCTTAACCATGTACCTGACACGTAGCATGCATCATTATAAATTAGGATGAAATTTTTTTAATGAGTGCCCCATTGCTTTATGTTGAAGAGTTTCAGTCTCAGTGAACAGAAGGAAATTTGGGGAAAAGTATTGCGAAAAGTATTGCTTTACTGATTCAACTGATACCCTTCTCGTCAGAAGGAAATTTGGGGAAAAATATTGCTTTACTGATTCAACTCTGTACAAGTGCACTTATATTACATTTAGATAAATTAACTCAACTAACTAGTTAACTAACTCAGGTTGTAACTAACTCAAGTAAACAACTAACTAATTGAACTGTAAACTAAATTGATACAGTAACTGATTCTCTACCGTTATAACAACTATTTAACACCCCCTCTCAAGTTAGAGGGTGGTAGAGATCAAGAACCCCCAACTTGTGTAATAGCTTGGAATGAATGTGACCTCCGAGTGCTTTAGTCAATAAGTCAGCTGGTTGCTACACAATAGGAATATAGGCAGTTTGTATGAGACCAAGTTTGAGCTGCTCTCTGACCATATGGCAGTCAAGATCAATGTGTTTTGTCCTCTCATGAAACATGGGATTAGAAGCTATATGGTTTGCAGCCTGATTATCACAGTGTAGAGGAATAGGCAATAGTTGAGACTTTGAAACATCAAGCTCTATGAGGAGTTGTACCAGCCAAAGAAGCTCACACACAGTAGCAGACATTGCTCTGTATTCTGCCTCAGATGAGGATTTGGAAATGGTTTCTTGCCTCTTGGATTTCCAGGATATTAGAGACTTACCAACGAAAACACAGTAGCCTGTCACAGGTTTTCTGGTCATAAGACAAGATGCCCAGTCTGAGTCGCAATAGGCTGACAGAGTCATATTGTTTTTTGCTGGAAAAAATAGGCCTAATCCTGGTGATGTCTTGACATACTTAACTATCTTGAGAGCCGCCTTCAGATGTGATTCCTTAGGTTTGTGCATGAATTGACTGAAAAACTCAAGTCTGGTCGAGCCATACACAAATACAGCAACGTACCTACTAACCTTTGATATACACTTGGGTCAGGAAGTAATGGATCATTGGTTGAAGGAAACATTTCATTATATTCAACATATGTCAATTTCAAAGTGGAATCCGTTGGAATTGTGGAGGGTTTGGAACCAGATAATCCAGATTCTGAAATCAATTCTAATGCATACTTCCTTTGACACAAAATAATCCCTTTAGATGATCTAGCTACTTCAAAACCTAAGAAGTACCTAAGNGAAAACACCACCATTCGACGTGACGGCTTCTCTACGACAAAACCCAACCATTTTCAGCCGCCTTCGTCGCTCGCCGTCCATCTAAAGTTCACATGACCGTCCGACTTCTTTTGTTGATTCCGGTGAGTTCCGGCGCCGATGGAACTCCCTAGCACCACCATCAGATTCGCTAGAACTTATGCATCAAAAGCCCCATGATTCCAAATTCGATTGGCTGTCGATCATTGCTGCCGCCACCACTCACGAGTTTCTTCGCTCGACAGGGGTGTTTTAGATAGATTTCAAATCTTAAGGGAGTATTATAGGGGTGTTTTTGATGAATTTCAAACCTTCAGAGACTATAAATAATTTTACAGAATACGGTCCAACCGACCGATCCAATCGGTCAAACTGAAAACCGGACCCTTGAACAGGTCATAGTCCGGTCCGGTTTTCGAAACATTGGTTACCACCATTCGATCTATCGGCCTCCACTCTACAAAATCCCTTTCACCCTAGCTCCTGGTAACTTGCCGAATATCGGTTAAAAAAGTGAAGTGTATTTTAAATATTAACGAAATATAAATTTTTGGTGAGTAAGTGGTCATTTAAGACAAACCTTGGGTGGGAACAAATCGTTTACTCAAAAAATCCCTAAGCCAGGAGAGAGTAGTCGAATTACAACAGTGATGGGCAATCGACGTAGTGTGTCCTGTTTGTTTCTATGCTGTTTTGGGCGACTTTGACATTTAAAACATTTTTCCATTTACAGGCCCAAAGCTATCTCCTTCAGTTATGCACTGCACAAGCTTCATCATCATCATCATCATCATCATCATGACCCCACATTCAACAAGATCAAGATAAGTTCTGATATTACATTTTACCATTATTTAATCATAAAATCAATCATGTCCAACTAAGTAATATTCTCTAGCAGACAGCTGGGGAATAAACAACACTACAGTCAAAGAGAGGTTAGGGGCCGTTAATAGCCATTTCAAACATCCCCATCTGTCTCTCTCGCGCCGGGGACTTTCTACTTTATGTGATCTTTCCAGGAGAAAATGGCACTGCCGTGTGAAGTGGGTTCTCGTGGAGTCATGGCTGAGCTGACACTAAAAAGTGGTGAACGTGAAATGATGGCAAATACAGTCCACAAATGAAGCCTTTAAGTGTTTGGACACAATAATTGAGTCATTAACTTGTCAAAAAAGAGATCTACAGTCTACACCTCTTTCTATTACCACAGCTTTAGTGCTATGCTATTTAACTAGACTTAGTATATACAGATACGACAAGAAAAAGGTACGAAAATTTTAACGATATGATACAATAAATAATAAAAAATATGTTTATAAAAGTTTGGATATAGGAAAAATATGATACGAGTTTAATATGACACATTGTCAATTATACGTTTTAAAAAATTTGATAATATCAATCTTGGTTTTAACACTTTTCATGAACTACTTAGTTAAAATCAATATAGCATTTTAAATATAAAGGTACGGCAAAAAAAGGGGTACAAGAATTTTACAAGCATGATACGACAAATAGTGAAAAATACGTTTATAAAAATTCAACAAAAATTTGACAAAAATTCAAATACAAGAATAATTTCACGAATAAAACATCTAAGGCATATAATTCGTGAATAATACGGTTGGAGTGATAAAATACAGAAATTCACGAATTAAACAATTGGACGTATAATTCGCGAATTTACTAATTAGACTTCTAGATAACTTGACAATTCGCTTAAGACTCTTGGGTATATTACTCAAGAGATCATGAGTTCAAATCTCCACGACTATTAATAAGGGGTAATCACTGGAGACTTACCTGACCGTTACCTTCCTGAATCCATTAGTATGAAACATTTTCTTTTCCAAGTGAAATCCCCTAGTATATGAAAGAGTGAAAAAATGCTTTCGTTAATGTGGAATAAGAAGCCTTCGTATCTTAATGCATGTATTTAATTTATTCGAGACTATCAGAGCGGGATCCACTTTTTGGGGAATACCAGTCGATGCAATAACAAGAATATTTCTAGTGGAACATCTTTCACAATCCCTAGAGAGATAGTTCACTAATAGACCGAGAGATAAGTAATTCGACTCATTCACATCTAGACCATGAATGTTTGGAATCCATATTATGCAAGGAGACATTGCTTCCCCACCAAACCCCCCACACCCCCCGGCGGACGGATACCAAAAAACATAAAATTAGTGCTATTTATAAACAAAATCATAACAGCTTCATCTGACAAGATTCTACAACTATGCAATGAACTTATACATTTATGAAAACTATATGTGCAGGATATACAGGCAAGATAACTGCTGTAAGGTAGTACATGTGAAATAGAATTATGCTTTATTTTTGTAGGTAAAAAGACTAAACTTGCTCCCCCACACGAATAACAAAACCAAGAAAAAAACTGGAAAGTCTTGCCTCAACCGCACTTAATTACAAAAAACTTCGACCTTCTAATCAATCATCTGCAATCTGTCAGAAACGCCGATATGTTAGCTTCCCATTTGGATGATGATAACATTGGATGTTGCTATAGACGCCGCCTTCTGAAGTTTCGGGTTGTGCCTTGGTAGGTTTGAACCAGTAAACCGACACCTAACCCGATTCCCACACATATGCTGAGGCCAATGCCAACACCCACCCTCACACCTGCATTGAACCATGAGAGTTCCCCATCTTCACCTTCTAAATATTCACCATGCAAATATTCAGTCCCCCGGTAAAGGAGGTCGTAGTCTTCATTTTCTGGTTTGTGATTTGAGTACTCTGATATCTGAAAAATCATGAAGAATATGTAAAGCAGAATTCTTTGTGCATAATCAGATGCAGATTGAGCAGCAATATAAGAAAAAAAAAAAATCTCAAAATGAAAGCATAATTGATTCTTGACCAGCTGCAGTTCCCCAAGACAAATATCAAATGTATATTACAAAGAACACCAGAATCATAGATAAGTTTGTTAAATATAGCTCACCCAGAAACTCCAAAGTGAAAAAGGAAATTCACCGTAACAAGGATACTACGAAGAGCAATGGGACAAAGGACCCATAAAAAATGCAAGTGGATTTGGAGGAAGAGCTTTCTGAAGTGTTTCTTTTACCATAAATCAAATTCACACAGCGATGTCCATGATCATCGGAATGGTGGAAATGAGTCGATATGGATTCTCCATAACCATACAAGAAAATACTGCTATAATAGTTAACTCAACCTTTTAATCTCCCACACAAGGCAATCTTGTCAGGCAAAATGTGTGGTAAATGAAACAGGATTCTCTAGCAACTATAGACAACAATTCTGGGGTTAAGATCTTTCATATCTTTTCTAACAATTACCATCCGTTGATCGAATTTGGGTGTCAATTGGATATCTAAAAAGAAACTAGACAAAATGAATACACAGGATCAGTATACACATCCAGACCATATCCAAATTCTGTAACCCTTAAAACAGAAATCAGGGAGTCATTAGAGTTTTTCTTCTCTTTAAGAGGTGAGAATCAACTTTTGGATGCTTATTTAAACAAAACCAGTAGAGGCAAATGTGTAACACACATGACTTGATCAAATTTGTATATGGAACAAAATATACAGATAGCCATAGAAAAAGAGATCAATCATTCTTGCAACAAGAAAAAAGTTACAAGCCAGTAAAGCTTTTCGGTTGTACCAAGACATATATGGGTTATAAAAATGGAAAAGTAATGTATTACAAAATTGAGAGAAGACAAAAACATCCTAAGCATTTAAAACTTGAGTTTCCTTCAACTTTAAAGGTTAAACTTTGAAACTAACATGTACCTGCAAAGGAAGCGCAGATGGACCATCTTTCTCAAATTCATATGCCTCATACTCTGGTATGGAACCCAACATCCCCTTCCTTGTTTGCTTTTTTCGAGAACTAAGCTGCAAAGTCTTTGTTAAAATGATTGGAGTGCCAGAGAAGGACCCTGCAACATACACCTCAATTGCTGGTGAAGCAGAGTCTGAACCCATAAATTGTTTAGCCTTCAGGAAACCAGTGCCCGAGGTCATTTCTGATTCACAGTTCATGCTCCATCTCTGGTCATGGTTTCCAGGATCCCCAGCAAACCCATTGCTGTTACAAAATTCTAGAACCCCAGATAGCACAAGAACATCCTTATCAAAAACCTCAAACTTCACACTTCCTGTCATCCTTATACTATCAGTGCTCACAAATGTTACTTCTTCAGATCTCTTATCCAATCTATCCCTTCTAAGTAGTGTTGAAGCCCCATCAGAATAGATACTCGTTCTAACACCATTTACTTCAAGAAGGGTGTTGGGATGCAGTGGAAGATGATTTAGTGTGAGGCACTCAGGCGTCGAATCATCAATCTCACATTTGCTGATTCTAACATAGAAAACTCTTAAATCAAGCCAAGGTAGAGAGCCCTTAACACATTGCTGGTAAGGAGAGTGCTTTATAACGTGGCCATTACTAGTTGGTCCGTTACCATTAGATGTCTCATAGGAATTTTCCATTGCCCTCAAGGAAATCAATTCTCTCCAGTGAAATGCTTCCAACTTGATTAAATTGATGACTCAGAAAAAATCACACAAGCGAGAGTCATGTGAGCATAGAAACCCTGCAGCCATGTCAATAAACAGAGATCAGACCTATTCATTAACTGTAATTTGAACATTGAAATACCAACAAACAGCAGAAACTACCGATCTAGCCATACCCAGAAGGACATGCTGGGGAAAAAACTGAAAGAAACCAACTGAAACTAAATATATATATTCTGAGGGACAGAACTCCAAGTAAAAAAGGGATATGGAGAAGGGAAAGAAGAAGCAGAAGCCTCAAAAGTCTCAAGCAGAAAAAGAGAAACCATACATAAATTCCGTAGGAATTCAAATAAGAAACAAATAGCGATCATCTAAGCAAAGGAAAGAACCAAATACCAAACCAGAAGAAGAAACAGGAGATAAAGTAGGAATAAGAAGATGGGAAAATACTGGAAAAAAAATCCAAAGTGTTCAAGCCCAAGAAATATTCAGTTAAAAGAAAAAATGGGGATATCCAAAGCAGAGAAAAATGGTCACTGTCCAAACAAGAAACAACACACCCCTGCAGAAACTTAATTTAAGAAAAAAGAAAATAAAAAACAAAAACAAAATTTCGGCTATCCAAAGCTGAGCAAAATGGTCACTGTTTTCAGAAACTTAATTTACCCAACAAACAACAGCAACAAAACAATTGATGAGTTATATACTTAATTTCATACCTGCAACACCCCATCACCAAGCAAATAAATTAGCCCAAAAGGTAAAGTCTTTGCTCCAATGACCATTCACAGTAAAAATAATCCCCACCACCAACAAGATTGCCGGCAATACATGACAAATCATGCACGTCACAAACTCACAATTCACAAAAACAGACAAAACACAACTTGCGTTTGTTCACTCGTATAATTACGACTTTAACACACACAGAAACCACAATTATATTTGTTTAAATCCAATAAAAAAACTCACCACTTAAAATATCTTCGACCCCACTAATCTCTTTCTCTTCTTTCCGTCTCAACGGCCAACGCCTCTATCTTGTGGCCTCCACAAATCCTAAAAAAGAAAAATAAAGCTATATCTTTTGATTTAACAATCTTTACAGCTACACAAAATATGCACCACAGTTCCCAAATCGAAATCTAAATCAAAGAACAACCCTGATCATCAAAAGTTCGCAACCAATGGTGGGTTGTTAAATTTCTTCTTATCGTGGTTGAAACAGGAAGTCTCAACTCTCAAGATACGAGTTTTTGAATGATTATAAAAAATAATAAAAAAAAAGGAGAAAAAACACCAATAAACAAATAAGTGGGGTCAGTCCATATATGATATTTTCCTTCAGATCTTATCCGAGAAAAATCGAAGACGGCTTCACAAGCCAATGTATTGAAAATGATGTAAACACTTTATACATAAAGCTAAACACTTAAACAAGGCAGAGAGAGAGAGAGAGAGAGTCTGTTTAGAAGCAGAGATAATTCAGTACTCTATTTATAAAGCTTTTCTTTTTCAAGTGTTTGATTTGTTTAATTATTGTTATTAATTTGGTTTTTTTAATTTATTTTTTATTAACCAAAATAATCATCCTACTCCTACATAAATTCTGACTAAAAATATTTATTTCATTATATAATTTTCATAAAAAAAATATTTGGTTTATAATAAATTTAATTTAATACGCATTTCCCACTCTCATAATAGACAAATCCAAGGATTTCACGTGAAAAGCACATGCAGGCAAAAGGTATACACTACCCAATTGAAAAAACAAGCCACCATATCTATGATTATTATTATTCTAATAACTAATCATTTATCAAATTTCTAAAAGCCAATATTTAATTTTTATTTATTTATTTATTTTTTGGAAATTGAGGTATCCGACATGCGCTTCGATTATTTCTCCAGAGGGAGTTATCCTACTATAACACACCGTCAGAGTATCTCGACTATTCCTCAAAAAGAGTTATCCCACAACTGTAACAAACAACCTATAGGAGAAGTTATCCTATAACAATCTACTGTTGCGGCCCCAGGTAAAGAGTAATGTTAGATTTATAATCTAATCTCACAACTCCCGATATGACAAATCGTAATTAATTAACTCACAAAATAAGTCTCGTTTGCTCATCTAAAAGTTAATCAATGACGAGACGTGAGAAAAGATTGTAGACCTAACATTATTGTCAAGTAAATTGTTGTCGCAACCCCTAAGTAAATTATGGTCAAAGTTTACTGCCCCTTAGTTTGCCCTTTCCACTTTGACTACCTATAGGTGAGTAGTTAATCTTAATATTTTGACTCTATAATCCAAATAAAGAAAAAAAAAATATCATGAAAATGCATTTGATTAGATATTTAAAACTATTTTTTTTCCTAAATATTTGGATATAGCTTGATTTGGCTTAAAAATTAGGAAAAAAAAAGAACACATACCTAATTTGTCGCCTTTGACTATAATTCAATATCATACTTTATTGTACTGATACGACGTTGTATTGTAGCAAAACTTATACCTAATTATAGCAGTGATAGTCTTTGATACGACATAATACAAACAACAGAAGACTTGGGTTAGTTAATTTGGGGTTAAATCACAATCGGGTTACCCCACATGTTTTCACTTGAAAATTTTCAGTTTTACTTCTATTTTCATCTTCTTTGCAACAGGCTTTGGCAGCTCAAACAAAAAGAAAACTAAGAGACCCACAATGTGTCAAGAGACTGTCAACTTTGGCAATAATCTATTCACTCATGAATTGATTCTGGTCATTCAAGAATTTTTTTTTGATGACCGGGAATGTCCGCACTAGCTTGTGCTTACCTCAACAAATCTCTTAAGATCCTAAAGTTGACGACTAGGTAAGTCCCTTAGTGATCACCTCTATTAACACTTGTGATAACTTGAACTCAAGAACTCATAAAACCTTCTTTTGCGCTTTTACTATCAAACCACTCAGTGGTGGTTAGTCTCCAAGAAATTCAAGCCTTGGAAACCCAGATGAAAAAAATGTCAAGTTTAGATGATTCACTGCACCTCTTTTTTCAGTGAATTTTAGACAAATATAAGGCCTAATGGGGCATAACAATTTCGGCATATCAGTGAGGGCTGAGCTGCGAAGTAGTAAGCAACTCTTCAGGTGAAGATGAGAAACAAACAGCCATATTCAGTTGGCCATTCAAGCCTTGATTACTGGGTAGTAGTCTAGTAGACAATATACTCTGGCATAGATTGTGAACAGGCGAAAGGCCATGATAATAATGATGCTGATCATTATTCATTATCAAATCTCGATGTAAACTTTACCAGATATACATACAGAGATGAGCATACAGAGCTTTAAAACTGGTGCTACAAATGAGTTCCAAATGCTTGGACATCCTCTTACCCATAAATTATCCGCTCTTCACACCATGAACAATAAGTTGAAATCAGTGTTTTACCACAAAGCCTATGAAATTCCTAACTGACAAACGGTTCCCTAAAAAGTAAATTCACCGGCAAATGCAGTATGAAGCTTAAACTCAATGTGCAATCTTTACCCAATGTCAACTAGATGAGACATCANGTAGTCTAGTAGACAATATACTCTGGCATAGATTGTGAACAGGCGAAAGGCCATGATAATAATGATGCTGATCATTATTCATTATCAAATCTCGATGTAAACTTTACCAGATATACATACAGAGATGAGCATACAGAGCTTTAAAACTGGTGCTACAACTGAGTTCCAAATGCTTGGACATCCTCTTACCCATAAATTACCCGCTCTTTACACCATGAACAATAAGCTGAAATCAGAGTGTTTTACCACAAACCCTATGAAATTCCCAACTGACAAACGGTTCCCTAAAAAGTAACTTCACCAGCAAATGCAGTATGAAGCTTAAACTCAATGTGCAATCTTTACCCAATGTCAACTAGATGAGACATCAAAGAATGAATTACTACCAAAGAAAACCTAAACTATCCATAAAAGACTTTGGAAACTTACAGACTTCAAGCTTAATTCCATTTCATAACTGAAAACTTCTGATGTTTATGTCAAATTTGAACAGAAGAATATTCCTACATTTATTTTTTCTCGTTTAGCAATGCGTTTCCTGATGCATCGTGCCCAATCTTATCAGAAAATAATAGGGTGCAAAAAATAAAAAGGGTTCCAGCAGAACTAAAAGTGTGCAAGTAAAGATCCGCAAACCAGAAAAAAAAAATATAATGGTTTTCTAGCTAATGAAAACAAAGGATATAGTATCAACAAGTATAGTAGCATATGACCTCGGTGCCACATGACAAGTTACAAAAGCATAATCCATGAATGGGAAGGATAAGGCAAAGTAGTGAAGGAACCAACACAGGTAGGAGAAAACCGCAAATGCATGCCAATTTGGTTTGGAAAGACCAAAGCCTCTGTCACCGAGGAACTGCAAAGTCTAGGAAATGGAAATAAAGAAATGCGGAAGATAATCAGTAGACAGCTAAACTCAACTAAAAAGGAAAGAAAATTTTGTTGAATACACAAAAAGAAACAAGTTCGTGAAGAAAGGCAAACCATTGAAGAAAGATTATTTAATCAGGAACATTATGAGGCAAAAATAAGAATAAGAACGTGTGGTTAACTTGGCCAGAATCCTGGCTTTATCTATAGAGCACCACAACTTTTGGTGACTGATAAGAGCGGCATGAGTTAAGGACACTGATCACCAGATAAATAATAATCCCACAGGTAAGGAAGGTTTACTATATGTAAGTCCTGGTGAGTACAACACAGTATAGTCACAGAATAAACAAGGTGTACCTTCAATACCATTGTATGAAGAATACAGAAAACACGGACAAGTGCATTACGTGCAAGCAAACATGAAAGTATTTCATTCAATCATGGTGAAAAGATACCTATAAAGATTGTATAATTTCCAACTCCTTTTCAAGCAGGGCACCTTAAATCTTCATTTTTCAAATATTTTTAGCTAGTTTCTACAATTCTAGGATGAAAACTGAAACATACCATATCATCTTACAAGCTCCAACCAGAATCACCAGAAGGTCTCCGTAATTAAGTGGATTGACAATATAGACACCCAAAATTAGGATATCTCAAGGTAAGGGAATGTTAAAGGACTTAACTACCAAGTTTCACTGCCAACTTAATCCCTTGATCAAGTCTTTAACCAAAGATCCAAGTGCATAAGAACCCTAAATTCTCACTAAATCATTCAAGAAAATTCAAATAATTCCAAGACTTCAACAATCACTAAGATGATTACCAAATAAATAAAAACAATTCAATACAACTTAATCCCCGCAAAAATATTTTAAAAATTACAAAAAAAAGTAACAGAACTTATTAACTCGGTTACACAAGTTTGCATACTCTGCCGGATACAATGATTATAAAAAGAAGATTACAGGCATTTGTTTTTCTTTCACAAACAGAAGCTGATAATAAATCCTATTCATTTATAGTTCCATAATATATCCAGCAAGCCGTGTCACAATGGCACTGCAAGTCCTATTGAACACAGTATAAGAACAATGTCAGAATAAAACGTTCACATGAGATATTAAGTAACCATCAAACCAATGGTGGATAAACAGATAAACCAGCACTTAATAACAAAATGGACCATGACCATAAATGAACATACTACAAATCCATTGTAAATTCATATACTTTATAAAAACATAAAAACTACCAATATAATTTCTAGTAAATGAAATGTAAAAAGAACTACTTCAATTTTACCTTGAGAAAGCCAGCTCCAGCAGGTTGAATCAACAGCAATGCTTGACTTGAGCCGAGCAGAAGCAATGGCACTGTGAAGGGGCATCAGTGAGTCAACACTTCCCAATACCGAAACAACCCTTCTATAAGAAATTAACGATCAATTTAATCCGCCATCCTCAATGAGATAAAATTAAACAACAATAATAAAATAAAAATACATATATCTATAAACCTTGAGGCACGAGGGAGGGAGCTGGTTGGTGAAGAGAAAGCGGAGAAAATGGATTTTGGGTTCAGCGCCTTCTGGGTTGTACTTTTGGATCGAGCAGCGACGGATTTGGAAGCTGTTGCTATGGCTGATCTACATAACGAAGCCATTTTTGGTTCAGATGAGTGTTGTGAGAGTGAAGAGAGCTTAAACCCTACTGTTAGGAGTTCGAGAGTTTTGATTGTCAAAACGGCGCCGTCCAAGGCCAATCGTGGGTCGTGCATCTATATCCGACTAGACGGAAATGGATCGGATTCGGGTTATCAAGCCCTCTTGTTAAAATCTCTCAATATTTCCAAAACGGGTCGTTTCAGAATCTTAAAATCTTAAAAAGACCCCTCAAAACGCACAGTATTGGAAATCCATGCCAGAAATGTACCGACTGTGTTAGCTTAACAAAGCGAAGCCATTTCACCGCTGAATCGGATCACCCATAGAAGCAAGTGGTACCAGTCTCTTAGCTTGTACCTGTGGAACCCTCCCAAATCGCCGGCAGAGGACTCATACGTCTTCAGCTACCTTAACCCATCACCGATGGCTTCGATCTTAGCTCGCAAGTCCCTCTCCGCCCTTCGCGCTCGTCACCTCGTGAGTATATCTTTCTGCAAAACCCTAACTATTTTTCTTGTTCCACTTCATAATTAGCTTTTATTGAATTAGTTTAAAGTTTTCAATTAGGGAAAAAGATGGGCTGATTGAAATTTGTAAAAGAGAAAAATGTCGTTATTAAGATTAGGGTGTTTTTTTCACTGACATTTTAATTTGGGTTGTTTTGTTAGGCGGTGTCGGGACAAGCATTGCAGGGTTCGCAGCATTATGGTTTGCGATTCAGTGCGCACCCTTACTCTTATCATCCCACAAAGAAAGGTTTGCTTTTCACTATTTTTTTTTTATTATGTATCAATCAATATATGAATAGGAAATATTTATTTATTTTTTGTTCAAGGCTCGTTCTGAATGCTGGTTGAATGGGTAAGATTATATGTATTTCGGGAATTTTTTGATATTGGTAGCTGCATCTATGCTATGGGTTTTGGAAATCCTCTATTGATTTAAAGGATGATTATGAATAAGTGCATTAGTATGGTAGTTGATATTGGAAAAGGGAAGTGGTATTATTTTTCGAAGTACATAAGATTATTTTTATTCTATATGTGATATGATAGTGGGTCAGAAATCAATATAACTGCATGCCACTAGGTTAAATTGGTCACAATTTGTTGTTAAACTGCATAATCTGTGCCTCTTGCGAATTTATAATTTTTTTTTTTTTTTTTTGGGGTGCTTTTTCATTTATTTATTTTTGGCTGCTAACTGCAGATGATGAAGAGAGGGAGCAACTTGCCAAAGAGATATCGAAAGACTGGAGTTCTGGTAATCTATTTATACAGAAGATCTTTTTTCTCAGTTAGGTTTTACATTAATTTCTAACTGCAAGGTATTTGTTACATAATTGCAGTTTTTGAAAGAAGCATAAACACGTTATTTCTCACTGAAATGGTTCGGGGTTTGATGCTGACACTCAAATACTTTTTTGAGCCAAAAGTTACTGTAAGTGTCTCCTTACTCCATTATCTTATTTAGGTTGTGATGAGCTATGATTTCTAACCTATACCATGTCTTCTTATGCAGATCAATTATCCATTTGAGAAGGGTCCTTTAAGCCCTCGCTTTCGTGGTGAGCATGCCCTGCGACGATATCCCACTGGAGAGGAACGATGCATTGCTTGCAAGCTCTGTGAAGCTGTAAGTAATTGTTCTGTGAAAATAGGTTCACTTAAAAAAGGAAGAAAAATAGAATATAGGAATTGCCTAGTTTTCTTGTAAATAACAGTGGAAAAAGTTTGCATTGTTCTCATATCATGTCAGGCTTCAGTTCTGCTATGCACTGAACACTTGGCTGGCAATGGCCAGTTGTTTGGATGCCATGGCCTAGAGTATGTTTCTGCTGTATTTTAAGCTTGTCTGCTATCTATGCTTTTTCTCATCTACAAAGTTAACGTGTGTGTAAAACGTTATTCTTAATACCAATATGGTCGTATGTGCCCAGAAAAGAAACTTGAGAACACTGGGTCATGAATTTCAATAATCAATCTTATATTTACGATATCTGCATTAAACCATATTAACAAGCTCATTTAGTACAACTTGATTAATGACAACTGGATTGCCCCGCACTATAGGATCTGCAGTTGACTGAACTTTTTAATTATCTTGATCATCCTATCTTGTGTGTGGGTTTTAGCTCATGATGTAAATTGTTCATGGTATCAAAATTTTTTCAGGAAATGCTGCATCCTATCTTGAGCATTCTAGCTGCTTGTTCTCGGCTATAGGCAGAAAGAGTGCCACATATACTATGCAAAATTTGTCCATGTTTTTCAATGTGTGCTTCTGTCTTTGTAGGCCTCTTGTGCCTTTTAATATGCATTTCCTGTTTGCATTTGTATATTGTAAAACCTTGATGGGCTGCCATCCTATATCTTTTGGATATGGGTTTACTAGCTCTATGTGGCAATTATCTTATGAGACCATGGTTATTCACCAGATATGCCCTGCACAAGCAATCACAATTGAGGCAGAGGAAAGAGAAGATGGAAGTCGCAGGACAACTAGGTGAAGTATCTTCCTCTTCTCCTCTTTTCTACCCTCTCTTCCCTTCTCATTAGTTTCATATCTCATTGTATTTTAACTTTGCAGGTATGATATTGACATGACCAAGTGCATCTACTGTGGATTTTGCCAAGAGGCTTGTCCTGTTGATGCCATTGTGGAAGGACCTAACTTTGAGTTTGCAACTGAGACTCATGAGGTCTGTACGCGTGCTTTTATTAAATCATAAGCACTAGATTCAACTGTGTATGTCAATTATTAATGCTTTAATATTGCTTCAGGAGCTTCTGTATGACAAAGAAAAGCTGCTCGAGAATGGGGATCGTTGGGAGACTGAGATTGCAGAGAACCTCAGATCCGAAAGCCTTTACCGCTGATGCTCCCCCGGTTATTTTAACCTAGTTGGTACTCGGATTTTCTTCAGTTTTTGAGTTGATGAAAAATAAAAAGATCCGTGCAGGAGTTTCTGCAGAAACTTTTATTTTATATTTTGTGATTATGTAGCTTTCTCATTTGAATTTTGCTTTGGCCGCTACATTTTTTAAGTAATGGAACAAAATATATGTTGTAAAAATTTGCCAATGGAAAAATGGGAATAATTTCTGTTTTTTAATGGCGAATGGCAAACCCTTTCAATTGTATGAACTTTTTCTTCATGTTTAAACCCTATGATCAGCCGTATGCTCTCTTCACTCATCAAGTAAAGCTAACAGAACCACCTTTGGGTGACCGAATGGTTGGATAGAGACGTTTGAGGTATTATTCAAGAGGTTATGAGTTCGATTTACCTCGGTTTCTAAAAGGGGTGGCCACTGAAGATTTATTCGGCCGTTAACTTTAAGGTCTTGGAGATTAGTTAAGGTGCACGTAAGTTGGTCCGGATGCCCCAGTGAAAAATAAATAAATAAAGCTGCCAAATTTTGAAAAATTAAAAAAATAATTATGAAATAACCCATTGTAAAATAATGATGACTTCTGGTGTAGCCAAGTTTGAAGGGCGGAATGCTAACGAACCAGGGCCATAGCACCTGTTTCTCCCTAATCCCCCGAATAAGATGTGGGGAAAGGAGAAGAAGGAGTCGGAGCTTATCAACCATAGGAATGCCCGATCGACTTGAGCGAGCTACGAGGTCTCTTTTAGCGCACTTGACTTATCTTATTGCGTTAAGTTGGTTCGCATGTCCCAATCAAAAATAAATAAATAAAGTTGCCAAATTTTAAAAAATTAAAAAAAAATGAAATAATCCATTGTAAAATAATAAATAAAAGTTTTATAATAATTTATCTAATTATATTATGATATGTGTAGACGTAAAAATCTACCTATACGGAAGGAGTGACTGATCCTATGAGGTTGAGGCCACTAGCTATCCGCTGTATCTGCACGCGTAGAGAAACAAACGTGAAGCGACAGAAAACACCGGGGTGGTGTTTACCATAGGCACTCCGATGCTCAAGTCAGCAAGGTTGAAAGAGGTTGATTTAGTGAGGGTTGGGGAGTAGAGAGGTTACCAGAAGTCTAGTTGGGGACTGTGACTACGGTTGTAATGTGAAGTTCTCAAGCAGGAACTCGGGGTCTGAAGGTGTAATGTAATATGCCTTGTGAGGGAGCTGACCTCTGTTTAAATAGTGACTGTCTGGTCTCCCAATCCTGGTAGGATTGAGAGTTCTCATAGTAATTCGTTCCTTCCAAGGATATATCCTTTGGTCCCATTATCCTGGCGTGAAGGGGAGTCCAAGTATGACTCTGATACGAACCTTGGAGGAGTTGGGATGGTAGTGAACTACTTTATCGGTGTTCAAGTAGGAATGTGATCCATAGGTGACCATGAGCTCTGAATTCATTCATAGGTCAGGGAAGTATACTGGGATTAGAAGGCTTGTGTCCAGATGGTTTGGATTGATTATACTTCATATCAAATGGGCCTTACTCGGGGAGCTCTGGCTTGAGCCGCATTGGGATTGGGCCTGATCCCTTCCTCACTGTCAGACGCGTTATCCCATTTGGGTCGAGGACATTTTTTAGCCCTAAAAATACGTCTTTTTGTACAAAAAAGTTGATATAAATTTTGTGTAAGTATAGTATTATTCATGGTATAAATACTGATACTATTTTTTGAAATTATTTTAGAATTAAAAAGAATAATTTCGATGTAAACTGTAAAGCCCAAGTCCTAACAGAGGTCGAGTCCTGGACAGGAGCCCAGCCCAGCTCTTTCTCTAATCTTACAGGGTTGGTCTGACTGGAGTCTGACATCATCTAAGTGGCTAGGTTAACCAATAAGCTCTGAACTCCGACGCAAAGAAAAAGCAGGAAAGAATAATTCAAACAGTCAAACTCAAGACCACCAGATGGCTGAGGAGGCGATTTTAGGTTACTTAGAACACAATGAGCAAATCGCGGATTCAGGTGTTTTCGCCGCCGAACGCCAACTCGATCACAATGACGTCGTTAATGTCATCAAAAGTCTTCACGGCTTTCGTTACGTAGACGCTCAGGTACACTACGACCTTTTCTGCTAAAATGCTTCACTGGCTTTGCTATCTGCATGCTTGTTATCAAAACTTAGGGATACAGGAGATTTGGAAAAAAAAATCGGCTTTGCTGATTTGCTTTATGTTATTATTATTATTATTTTAATTTTGTATGTTTGATTGATTAGTGTTTTCTAGTGGTGGTTCCGTTAGTGTTATTTGGTTAATTGTGCTTTATTTTATTTGATGAAGATTAAAAAGTGAATTTTGGATTTATTATGTTATTTAAAAATAATTATACAGAACATTAAGAGGGAGACGTGGGTGCTGACTGATGAAGGTAGAAAATATGCAGCTGAAGGATCACCTGAATTTCAATTGTTTATGGCTGTGCCACAGGAGGGCAGTATCTCAAAAGATGAACTGCAGGTGATTTCTATGACTCCCATTTGAATTTGTAATTATCGGATTTTTATATTTAGTTATTATGTCTAACGAATTTGAAAAATGTAACAAGAAGTTGGATTTAGTGTTTTAAGATCTGAGAGCATCTATGTTAGCGTCTTTGAAAACAAAATTTTGGGAATGAAAATGTAGGCAACGAAATATTTTAATATGAGTAAACCGACTAAAGAACATTTTTGAGAATGATTTCTGAAGAATATTGAGAAGCCAATATGGTGTCTTCAGCTTCGTTCACTGGGAAATGATTTTACATTTTTCAATAACATTTTTACAAAACTGTAATTGATTAGCATACTGTAGTTTATGAATCAGGCTATATGGATATTGTACAGGATGCTCTTTGTAATATTTTCTGCTTTGAATTTCCTTTTCTGTTGTGGGTTGAAATGTGTGTTTATGATGATAGTTGTGAATTTTTGCTAAGATGTGTAGCTAAAACATTGTATTGATGCAGAAAAAGCTTGATCCTGCAGTGTTCAAAATAGGTTGCTCACAGGCAGGAAAGAATAGGTGGGTGGAGATGGGAAAGCAAGTTTCAAGAAAGGTAACACCCTTTTTTAAGTTTTTCAGTTAATCAAGTTCTTTAATGAGTTTTAGGTGGAATGCGAGAAATGTTGTTTAGTGAGTTGGTCATTCTCAATGGCATTTTGACTTTTGTCTGTATATATTATTAAAGTGTTGTTGCCTACTCCAAACCTATTACATGCTTGCTGTCCAATTGTTAGAGCATCTATTTTCTGACCAATTTGTGCTTCTATTGTGTATATTATGCTTAAGTATTCATGATTGTTCTTAAATTGCTGTAGGTTCAAAATGTGGAAGATAAAGTGAGAGTTTTGCTGCTACATGTACAAGAAGGACATGTACGTGATTATCATATCTAATTTACCTGTCATCGGTATAACATTAGTTTCTCCATAAATCACCGAGAGTTTTATTCTATTATCACTAAGCTTTAATTATTTTTCTCTCATTTATTATAAAGCTGACTCTTAATACTACCAAAAGTAACCTAGTTAGGGTGGCATACAAATTCCTCTTCCTATATGCCTTATACACCCATCGTTGTTCTTACAACTTTGGTTCACGTAAAATGAATTCATCATGTTTTCCTGTGCTAAATCTGAATTTGTTTTTCTGTACTTCCTTTTCTCTTTAGTTTACTCTAATAAATCCACTTTGTAATTCAGGAAATTAAGCAAGAAGATATCAACTCTCTCAAAGCGAGAAAGCTTATTGTTCTTCAGTAATCATCTTTCTTGACTTTCAATTTATATACATGTGATTTCATTGCTCATTTATTGTTCTTCTATGATAAGAACCTCAGGCTTTATATGCTAAGACTGCTGGGGTTTTCACATCACTCTATTGAAGCTTCTTTGTTCAATTGTGGTGGCAACAAAGCTATTCCTGACCTGTACTAAATTACTTCTTTTTTTATTTTAATTTTCTTTTAGAACATGGAAGGGCTACTCAGTTACTAAAGGTCCTAATTATGCTCCGCAAAGAAAGAAAGTTGCTACAGATTTGACTCGAGAAAACCTACAGAGGTATTTGATATGTTTTTTATCTTTGTGACAAAATATTAAAAAGTATAAACCGTTTGTTAGTAAGCATTGTTAGTGACAATAGCTTCAGGCATTGAATTTAGTGTTGAAGTCCATTTCCCTTTATTTGTATCATTTGAAAGGTTTTTGCCTGTTAAAGGAAGAGTGGAAATGGTAAACATATTTTGGGCTATGTACCAATTATAATGTGTAGGACAATAAAGTCTAGAATACTTATATTCATTCTCTTTCTTCTTTGAAGTTGGGGGTATTTCTATGGTCTTACATTTTGCAGGATATTTATTTTGCAGTTTTATATTTTTTAAAGCTTTTAATTTAAAATATTTATTTTTTTAATTTACTGTCATATTGGTCAATGTGCAGGATAAGCTAGCAATAATTGATGAAAATATATTTATAGGTTATACTTCTTGTTTTTCAGCCTGAATGTCTTGCATCTTGTTATGTAACACCGTTCACTGCTTTTTTTCCTTTTTTTATACATGTTAAGGGTATCTTTCTGACTTAAGCTAGTAACTAAGCTGAAAAATTTCTGCAATGTTTCTGCCTTCAGAGGCGATTGGAAGGAACTAGAATTCAAAGAGTATAACTTCAATGCTAAAGGACAGCCTGCTGAAGGTGGCCACCTTCACCCACTGCTAAAGGTACGAAACACTCACTTACTTTACCTCCTGTTAATTTCAACGAATGTTAGATTTTTACCAACGTATAATTACTTTGTGGGGATAATTTTATTAATACTTTTTGTAAAGTTTCTTTAGTTTGCAATATGTTTTGATTAATCTCTTAAAGGGTGGAAATGTTTGTCATTAATGCCCACTTGTGAATGGTTTACACGTTAGATATAGTTAATAATGCAAAATTCTGTCTTGGTGATGCCATTGTACTAAGTAGGCTCACAAAGTTAGTGGGTTGCTATTAGATGGAAATCAACTGAAGCCTAATTAAATTTTCTGTGATTTGTTGAACATTAAACTCCCTGAGAAGTTTCAGTGTGAACAAGGAAGAGTGATGTTCTTATGAAGATTATTTTCCACAGTTATAGCATTTAGAATAATATGAGTGTGTTTTTATGAACACAAGCTGTTCCATAGATAAAGATG